GCGCTGAGAAACTTGATCCTCAGGTATTATATGGCACCCACGGGGCGACCCACATGCTCCCTCAAGATTATATATCCACCACAAGGAAAACATGGATAAATCTACAGCCCTACACGTATTTACAAGAACATCCACACACACCGAACACACGCCTGTACACGCCCACAATGTGTGGACTGACAGTCGAGAGGCGGGACCGAAGAGCGGAAACTGAACCCCCCAAAAGACAATTATATGAATCCAATTAAGTGAGTACACGATTGGGTGTAAAGGAGAAGAGACCAAACCCAAGAACTAAATTTCAACCCCAGCAAACACAATTAGGCAAGTGCACACGTGAAGACGCTGAAACCCCTGCAAGCACAGCTAGGAGAGTACACTTACACAGTACTCGGTACACCCCTGTAACTCCACACCTGAGGTGTAACACCAGGCACCTGGGTGTGGGGCCAGGCCTTCGGGAGGGGCAGCTAATGCTGCTGGGGGGGGGGGAGGAGAGAGAGAGAGAGAGAGAGAGAGAGAGAGAGAGAGAGAGAGAGAAGGGGGGGGGAGAGACGTGAAGGAAAGAGGAGGGAAGACAGAGGAAGGCGACAAGGGGGGGGGGAAGGGAAGGGAATAATTAGGAGGAAGCACCAAGCCATTATGACTATATAACACTTGGAAGGGGTCAGGATATGGATTTGGGATGGGACGGTGGGAAGGAATGGTGCGCAACCACTTGGACGGTCGGGGATTGAACACCAACCTGCATGACGCTCTACCGTCCAGTCCACGTGTTTGGACAGGGCGGGGGGGAGAGGGGTGTATGTGAAGGAGGAAGACAAGAAGGGTGACTTAGCGGAGGGTGTAAGGTGCGAATAATGGGGGGGGGGAGCGTGTGCACATATCTGGGGAGCCGGAGACAAGGAATGAAGCAACGTTGTTGTTTAAGATTCACTACCTGGAACAAAAAGTTCCAAGTAGCACGGGCTATGGTGAACCCGTAGTTGAAGCCATGTGGGGAGGGGCAGAGGAGGATGCTGCTTCACTTTTGTAAACTCAGTTATAAATGTACGACCATTTATGAATTAAGTTGTTGAATTAAATGAGATGGTGTTGTATCAGGAAAAATGCAGGGGAGGGGTCGAGTGAGGGGGGGAGGGGTCGAGTGAGGGGGGGAGGGGTCGAGTGAGGGGGGGAGGGGAGTCGAGTGAGGGGGGAAAGGAGTCGAGTGAGGGGGAGGGGGGGGAGGGGTCGAATGAGGGGGGGGAAGGGGTCGAGAAGGGGGGGGAAGGGGTCGAGTGAGGGGGGGAAGGGGTCGAGTGAGGGGGGGAGGGGTCGAGTGAGGGGGGGGGAGGGGTCGAGTGAGGGGGGGGGGGAGGGGTCGAGTGAGGGGGGGGAGGGGTCGAGTGAGGGGGGGGAGGGGTCGAGTGAGGGGGGGGAGGGGTCGAGTGAGGGGGGGGGGAGGGGTCGAGTGAGGGGGGGGAGGGGTCGAGTGAGGGGGGGGAGGGATCGAGTGAGGGGGGGGAGGGATCGAGTGAGGGGGGGGAGGGATCGCGTGTACGGGGGAGGGGTCGCGTGTACGGGGGAGGGGTCGCGTGTACGGGGGAGGGGTCGCGTGTACGGGGGAGGGGTCGCGTGTACGGGGGAGGGGTCGCGTGTACGGGGGAGGGGTCGCGTGTACGGGGGAGGGGTCGCGTGTACGGGGGAGGGGTCGCGTGTACGGGGGAGGGGTCGCGTGTACGGGGGAGGGGTCGCGTGTACGGGGGAGGGGTCGCGTGTACGGGGGAGGGGTCGCGTGTACGGGGGAGGGGTCGCGTGTACGGGGGAGGGGTCGCGTGTACGGGGGAGGGGTCGCGTGTACGGGGGAGGGGTCGCGTGTACGGGGGAGGGGTCGCGTGTACGGGGGAGGGGTCGCGTGTACGGGGGAGGGGTCGCGTGTACGGGGGAGGGGTCGCGTGTACGGGGGAGGGGTCGCGTGTACGGGGGAGGGGTCGCGTGTACGGGGGAGGGGTCGCGTGTACGGGGGAGGGGTCGCGTGTACGGGGGAGGGGTCGCGTGTACGGGGGAGGGGTCGCGTGTACGGGGGAGGGGTCGCGTGTACGGGGGAGGGGTCGCGTGTACGGGGGAGGGGTCGCGTGTACGGGGGAGGGGTCGCGTGTACGGGGGAGGGGTCGCGTGAGGGGAAGGTAAACTATGGGGGACGTGGTGAGGGGGAAGGTAAACTATGGGGGACGTGGTGAGGGGGAAGGTAAACTATGGGGGACGTGGTGAGGGGGAAGGTAAACTATGGGGGACGTGGTGGGGGGACCTGTGAGTGGGCGAGTTGAATTATAAGGGAAGTGAGGTGCTAGAATGAGACGTAAGATAGGGAAGATAGGAAAGGGAAGAGTGGAGGTAAGGTAGAGAACTGTGTGTGTGTGGGGGGGGGAGGTGGGTGGGAAGGGAATAACAAGGGCTGGAGAAATGTCAGGGTAAAAGGCAGGAGGACGAGAGGGAAGCCTCATACAACTATCTGCCTGGAAAATATAGAAATCCCGATTTAATTATCTGCATAACAACGTTTAATAAATTCCCCTCGTGTGAGAGAAGCTAAATTGCAAAGCGTAAATTAATTGTATTTCATGTTAGAGGCATTACAAACCGAATTAGTTATTAAATTTCACGGATTTCGGATAAATTTCACAGACTAATCAGCCTACTACAGCGATTTAATAAAATTCCAAGAACATGAAAATGCATGTGGCTTACAGCTTAACAAACCAAGCATGTAAAAAGTAGGGTGTCAGTCCGTGTCCAAGGTTGGACACGGACGCTTGGGGGGTAGCCTCACCCAACTATAAAAGCGACCCTGTCGTTTTAACACACAGCACCGCTCCTGTGCCAGGTAAGTCTACTACGGGCTCACCATAGCCCGTGCTACTTGGAACGTTTAGTTCCCAGTAGCTGAATCTTAAACAACAACAACATTTTAACACTGGAAAATGTTCAGGTCAACCCGGGTACTGGGTGAACCCAACCACCAGCTCGACCCTTGCTCCTAACACTTATACAGACACCCCCTCCCCCCCTCTTCCTCTATTGTTATGTACAATATTTCCCCCTCATATTTCTCATAAAGCTAAATATAATTTGGTCTGCTGTGAATGATACGCGTAATTATCAGGACAAAGTACAGAGCCGTTATGACAGTCCCGGTAGGTTTATACCACTTGAAATTGACACTAGGACACATTAGGAGCTGGGAGACCTACACTCCACTCTTTGGTGTCCCACAGGCTACCACTGTGTTGTACAGTTGTACTAATTGTACAGCACCTCACTGAGGCTACTACAGTTGTACAGCACCTCACTGTGGCTACTACAGTTGTACAGCACCTCACTGAGGCTACTACAGTTGTTCAGCACCTCACTGTGGCTACTACAGTTGTACAGCACCTCACTGTGGCTACTACAGTTGTACAGCACCTCACTGTGGCTACTACAGTTGTACAGCACCTCACTGTGGCTACTACAGTTGTACAGCACCTCACTGTGGCTACTACAGTTGTTCAGCACCTCACTGTGGCTACTACAGTTGTTCAGCACCTCACTGTGGCTACTACAGTTGTACAGCACCTCACTGAGGCTACTACAGTTGTTCAGCACCTCACTGAGGCTACTACAGTTGTTCAGCACCTCACTGAGGCTACTACAGTTGTTCAGCACCTCACTGAGGCTACTACAGTTGTTCAGCACCTCACTGAGGCTACTACAGTTGTTCAGCACCTCACTGAGGCTACTACAGTTGTTCAGCACCTCACTGAGGCTACTCCAGTTGTACAGCACCTCACTGTGGCTACTACAGTTGTACAGCACCTCACTGAGGCTACTACAGTTGTTCAGCACCTCACTGAGGCTACTACAGTTGTTCAGCACCTCACTGTGGCTACTACAGTTGTTCAGCACCTCACTGTGGCTACTACAGTTGTTCAGCACCTCACTGAGGCTACTACAGTTGTACAGCACCTCACTGTGGCTACTACAGTTGTACAGCACCTCACTGTGGCTACTACAGTTGTTCAGCACCTCACTGTGGCTACTACAGTTGTACAGCACCTCACTGTGGCTACTACAGTTGTTCAGCACCTCACTGTGGCTACTACAGTTGTACAGCACCTCACTGCACACCCCCGGCACAAGGGCTGTGCAAGAAGCTGTGCGTGCCGGGTGGTGGAGTACATTACAACAGCTGTACTCTGAGAAACATGTGCAGTTTATGGGTGCTGGCCGGCAGTTTCTACACGTGAAATATTTAATTAAATTATCTTTTTATAACATTCTAAATGAATGTCTTTAATTATTTTACCATTTGTTGTAACCGAGTAATAACACGAATATTAACATGTGATGAAAACTGTGACTCAGAACACGAAGGAAGAATTGAAACAGGAATTTCCCAAGTACTTTCGTATTTAATAATACATCTTCAGAAGGATTATATATATATATATATATATATATATATATATATATATATATATATATATATATATGTATGTTATGTTATTTATTATTTAGCATGTTATTTATTATTTACCCAGGGGAGGAGAGTGGCCGCCCACCACCCAGGGGGAGGACAGTGGCCGCCCACCACCCAGGGGGAGGACAGTGGCCGCCCACCACCCAGGGGGAGGACAGTGGCCGCCCACCACCCAGGGGGAGGACAGTGGCCGCCCACCACCCAGGGGGAGGACAGTGGCCGCCCACCACCCAGGGGGAGGACAGTGGCCGCCCACCACCCAGGGGGAGGACAGTGGCCGCCCACCACCCAGGGGGGGACAGTGGCCGCCCACCACCCGGGAAGCAGCAGTGGCCGCCCACCACCCAGGAAGCAGCAGTAGCCGCCCACCACCCAGGAAGCAGCAGTGGCCGCCCACCACCCGGGAAGCAGCAGTGGCCGCCCACCACCCAGGAAGCAGCAGTAGCCGCCCCTGCTGTCACCCACCAAATCCTGCAAACTATGTTTAACTCCTCCTTACCTGGTCGTCCACACGGTAGTGAAATCGCTACGGCGCGGCCACCGACCAAATCCAGAGCCGCATCTTATAACCGGTTGTGTGACACATGGCTACCCTAACATGACCTGTGTAGGCACATGACCCCGCTGTTAGCAACGTGACACTGCGGCGCGGCCCGAACCTGCTCCTCCCACAGCTGACTCCACACTGCCGCCGCCGCCGTCGACCACGCGTATCGTACCGACCTCCGCTTCACAACACATTCTCCTCCCAAATTCTCTATTTTAAATTTTAACTGGTATTGAATTATATAAATGCTTTGCTAGCATCGAATAAATCGTAACATTTGTGAAATTTTATTAGATTATTGCAATTACTAACACAGAGTTAAATTTGTATAATCAATAGTATGCAGTGATCTAATGTCTGGCAGGCCGGCACCTCCATAGAGTCATTTCTACGTTGACAGCAAGTCTGGAGTCAGTGTGGTGTGTCTCATTCATTTCCAGCAACTGCCTCTGGACCAGTCCTGCTGCTCGATATCATCAGCGGCATATGCTACGTTGGCCAACATAAGATTTGCCTTTAGAAACTTGTGTAAGGAATCGTTCAGGACCCTGTATACCACTTATGTCAGACCAATCCTGGAATATGCAGCTCCAGCCTGGAGTCCATACCTAGTTAAACACATGACAAAGTTAGAGAAGATTCATCGGTATGCCACCAGGCTCGTCCCGGAACTGAGAGGTACGAGCTATGAGGGAAGGCTAAAGGGGCTGAACCTCACGTCCCAGGAAAACAGAAGAGTAAGGGGAGACATGATAACCACCTACAAAATTCTCAGGGAAATTGACAGGGTGGACAAAGACAAACTCTGTAGCATGGGTGGGACACGAACAAGGGGACACAGGTGGAAACTTAGTACCCAAATGAACCACAGAGATATTAGAAAGAATTTTTTCAGTGTCAGAGAAGTTAACAAATGGAATGCATTAGACAGTGATGTGGTGGAGGCTGACTCCATACACAGTTTCAAATGTAGATATGCTAGAGCCCAGTAGGCTCAGGAACCTGTACACCATTTAAATACATGGATGGCGATATACTAAAGAAATTGTTCATGACTTTTGTTAGGCCAAAGCTAGAATATGCAGCTGTTGTGTGGTGCCCATATCTTAAGAAGCACATCAACAAAATGGAAAAAGTGCAAAGACATGCTACTAAGTGGCTCCCAGAACTGAAGGGTAAGAGCTACGAGGAGAGGTTAGAAGCATTAAACATGCCAAAACTAGAAGACAGAAGAAAAAGAGGTGATATGATCACTACATACAAAATAGTAACAGGAATTGATAAAATCGACAGGGAAGATTTCCTGAGACCTGGAACTTCAAGAACAAGAGGTCATAGATTTAAACTAGCTAAACACAGATGCCGAAGAAATATAAGAAAATTCACCTTCGCAAATAGAGTGGTAGACGGTTGGAACAAGTTAAGTGAGAAGGTGGTGGAGGCCAAGACCGTCAGTAGTTTCAAAGCGTTATATGACAAAGAGTGCTGGGAAGACGGGACACCACGAGCGTAGCTCTCATCCTGTAACTACACTTAGGTAATTACCAGTTGATTAACGGTTGCGAGGCGGGACCAAAGAGCCAAAGCTCAACCCCCGCATGCACAACTAGATGAGTACAACCACTCGGGTGGTCGGCGTTCAAGCGAGATCGTCGCTCTACCGTCCAGCCCAAGTGGCTAGACGGTATTGGAGAGAGTGACCTCTGACTCCATAATGATGTAATTTAAGAAGGTTGTGGTGGTTGACAGTGTCAAAAGCCTTACGTGGGTCCACAAATAACCCAACAGGGAACTCATTTTTTATCAAGAGCTGCATGTATCAAGTTAATCATACTCATAAGTGCATCGTTAGTGCTTTTTTGGGTCTGAAGCCATATTGGAAAAAGCTAAGAATATTGTGTTTTGCTAGATAAGATTAAAACTGCTTGAAGATTAGCTTTTCAAAGGATGATAAGGAGTCTCTTACAATTAATGTATCAAGTTTGGAGACTTGTACACATTTCAGTGCAAGGAGCAAGGCAAATAGTTCAGTCTGAAGGGTAGAAGCCCAGTTGTTTATACGGACTCCCCACTCAAAGTACAAGCCATCGCCCATTGTCAGGACAACTGCACTTCCAGCTGCACCCGTGGAGCGGTGTAGGGAACCATCAGTGTATATGATTTGAGAGAGAGAATGCTCTGTGGACAGAGCATCAGTATGGCTTAAGGCGTTGAGCTTTGCCTCAAGACGAAGCTTGGGCTGATCTCTAATTTGCTTCTTGGGTGGAAAGGGAGGGATTAAAACTGGAAAGGGTGTAACCTCCCACGGTGCAGGAAAGTGCCGGTTGTTTCTCTTGGTACAAATCATGAACCTGATACATTCTGAGTTGAGTTCCAGTTTTTGTTATTCATTTGGAGTATGTCAAGAGGAGTACAGGCCGGATCACGATACACTCTGTCCGCTATCATTCTGATTGTTTCATCCACAGGTACGTTGGAAAACAGTGATTCTACATCCAACGAGGCTCTTATCCCTGTGGCCCGTATTCCCCGCAGTAAGTCAACAAATTCCTTTGGAGACTTCAGGCTGAAGACGCAAGGGACATAAGGAGTCAGCAAGCCGTTGAGTCGCTTCGCCAGTCTGTACGTGGGTGTGGATATCTGGCTGATGATTGGCCGAAGTGGGTTTCCAAGCTTGTGTGTCTTGACATTTCCATACGCGTATCCAGGTTTGTATTCCCCAATAATCTTTGGCAGGTGTTTCCAGATTTCTTGGCGTTCACAGTTTCGATCAATTTGTTGACCTTTGCTTTCAATTCGGCTGTAGTGTCCTTCGTTACCCTTTGGAATTTAGTTTGGTCAGAGAGTAGGAGGTTCATTTTCGCCAGATATTCGTCTTTTTTAAGAATGACGTATATTGGCGACTTGTCACCTCTCCTAATCATTCAGAGGATCAACATTCCCCACGGCCTGGTCTGTGACCAGGCCCTCTGGTTGGTGGTCTGGTCATCCAGGCTGCTCACAGCCTGATTGATCAGGTATCCTTTAAAGATGTTTATCAAGTTCTCATAGCACTGTGAGAAGTTAGCCAGTTATGCCCCTTGTGTGTAACGGGAGTGTCTTTTTACAGTCTTGGGCCCCTTAATGTTAAGAAGTCCTCTCTAAGCATATTTATAAAAAATTCTAATAAGGCTATTTTGCACATCATAACATGCCTCCTAATCTCATGCAGTGCTATTTTTGTGTGCAGATTTGGGACCACCAGCCCTTTTAATATTTTCCAACTGTAAATTATGTATCTCTCCCGCCTGGGTTCTAGGGAATACAGAGTTAAAATTTTAAAGTGATCCCAATAACTTATATGATTTACAGAACACTGTGGCAGTGGTGTTAACCTGGGACATGGCAGCAGTGGTGGTGTGATCCACGTACTGGATATCCTCATTGTATTGTCCTCATCAATGTCTATCACTTGTGTCCCATCATTGTTAGATCATTATTGGGTTTTGGGTCATAAACATCACTACCAGGGTCCTCTTGATACATTTCATCAGTAAGTTCATCCTCAGAGTGATTTTTCAACCATGTGACCCCATCGGAGACTGGGAGCTAGAAGCAAGTTTGTCAGCCATGATTGCTCACTTGAAACTGAGCCCACCTGCAAATACTTTTTTTTTCAAGATGGTGGATGCTCATTGGAGGCCTCGGAGTGTTCATTTGCTACCCAGGTTACCGCGAGCAATATTTTACTCTTCCAATATACAAACAAATAACACATCTCGGTCAACCGAGATATCTCTTATTTGTGTAGTGAAGGGGTTTATATATATATATATATATATATATATGTCTCCGTGGTGTAGTGGTAAGACACGCACCTGGCATTCCGCGAGCGCTTTGTCATGGGTTCGTATCCTGGCCGGGGAGGATTTACTGGGCGCAAATCCTTAACTGTAGCCTCTGCTTAACTCAACAGTAAAATGTGTACTTGGTTGTAAAAACGATTCTTCGCGGCGGGGATCGTATTCCAGGAACCTGCCTGAAACGCTACGCGTACTAGTGGCTGTACAAGAATTTAACAACTCTTGTATATATCTCAAAAATTATATATATATATATATATATATATATATATATAATATATAAACTGAAAACTCACACCCCAGAAGTGACTCGAACCCATACTCCCAGATGCCACGCAACTGGTATGTACAAGACGCCTTAATCCACTTGACCATCACGACCGGACATAATGAGGTGATAGCCGAGGCTATTTGAACCACCCCACCGCCGGCACTCAGATAGTAATCTTGGGCATAGCATTTTACCAAATCGCCTCATTCTTTGGGGCACACGTGAGGAACACAAATGCGAACAAGCCTGAATTCAAATAGCCTCGGTGGTTCAAATAGCCTCGGCTATCACCTCATTATGTCCGGTCGTGATGGTCAAGTGGATTAAGGCGTCTTGTACATACCAGTTGCGTGGCATCTGGGAGTATGGGTTCGAGTCACTTCTGGGGTGTGAGTTTTCAGTTGCATATTGTCCTGGGGACCATTCAGGCTTGTTCGCATTTGTGTTCCTCACGTGTGCCCCAAAGAATGAGGTGATTTGGTAAAATGCTATGCCCAAGATTACTATCCAAGTGCCGGCGGTGGGGTGGTTCAAATAGCCTCGGCTATCACCTCATTATGTCCGGCCGTGATGGTCAAGCGGATTAAGGCGTCTTGTACATACCAGTTGCGTGGCATCTGGGAGTATGGGTTCGAGTCACTTCTGGGGTGTGAGTTTTCAGTTGCATATTGTCCTGGGGACCATTCAGGCTTGTTCGCATTTGTGTTCCTCACGTGTGCCCCAAAGAATGAGGTGATTTGGTAAAATGCTATGCCCAAGATTACTATCCGAGTGCCGGCGGTGGGGTGGTTCAAATAGCCTCGGCTATCACCTCATTATGTCCGGTCGTGATGGTCAAGTGGATTAAGGCGTCTTGTACATACCAGTTGCGTGGCATCTGGGAGTATGGGTTCGAGTCACTTCTGGGGTGTGAGTTTTCAGTTGCATATTGTCCTGGGGACCATTCAGGCTTGTTCGCATTTGTGTTCCTCACGTGTGCCCCAAAGAATGAGGCGATTTGGTAAAATGCTATGCCCAAGATTACTATCCAAGTGCCGGCGGTGGGGTGGTTCAAATAGCCTCGGCTATCACCTCATTATGTCCGGTCGTGATGGTCAAGTGGATTAAGGCGTCTTGTACATACCAGTTGCGTGGCATCTGGGAGTATGGGTTCGAGTCACTTCTGGGGTGTGAGTTTTCAGTTGCATATTGTCCTGGGGACCATTCAGGCTTGTTCGCATATATATATATATATATATATATATATATATATATATATATATATATATATATATATATATATATATATATATATATATATATATATATATACTGCATAACAACCTTGTAACATAATGTACCCTGTACATTAAACCTGTTTCACAAATATTTAGATACTGTGCTGCCAAAAACATTAGTATACAATACAGTACAAGCAAGAAGCTAGTTTGTCAAATTATATATACATATATATACAGTATAATATATAATTATATTAAAATTATAAGTATAATGTAATTATATATAATATATAAAGTACAATATATTCTTTCCACTATCAACTGCTTTTAAGATGATAAAAGACAATGGGAATAAATTTGTTAAACATCAACAGTTCTTAGTAAAACGCAAAACAGTACAAGGGGAAAATTCAGTCATACTATATTTATAACGGAAATCATTTTTATTTTACCAATGCATGTTTTAAAAACTCTTACAAAAAGTCTAATTTGATATATTAAAAAACAATTTAATTAACCATTTTGAGAACTAAAATAATAATTTGTAAAGTTCCAGGGGTTTTCATGCTTATAAATTTCTAGAGTTAACATACAGTACATATAAATAGTTATGTTTACAAAAATTCTTCACACCAATCAGAAAGGCACTGGTGGCAGTCTCCAGCTTGCTTCACATTGGCTCCACACGTGTCCTTCAGCCAATCCATGAAAAGCTCTTTGTTCTTCTTCAATACCAGGAACTGACCAAGAACAACATATGCCTGTTGATAAAAGAAAGCACCGTTGTTTAATGCTTATGTAGAAAATTGTCTGCATTATCTTGGGTAATTCCTCATACTATAAAGTGCACCAAACAAATCTGGATTTGGCAGATCCAGCAGATTCCTCTAAACGATGGACTAAATTTGCCAACCAGATCTCCCTCTGAATTTTGGATTTTTGAAGAAAAATTTCTGGAAGGGGATTATCGGCTCATTAAATCAAGTAATTTCAAACCTATTATTTATATATGTTATTTATGTCTAAATATACAGAAACAACTATTTCATCACTTTTTGCAAGAGAAATCTGAAAAATTTGGTGATATAGCCTAAAAATGGCAAATTTCTTTAAAACTAAAAGTGGCTGGATTTTGGAGGTAGATTTTTCCATCTTTTTTTTGAAGGTGCCACTGTACATCTTTATAAGTTGGATCAAACACACGTTAACTTTTGTCTCTCATGCTAAGCCAGCCTTCCTCTCACTCACACTAGGCCAGCTTTCCTCTCACTCTCACTCTGTGATGAAACAAGATGAGTGAGGGTGGACAGATAAAGGAATACTGTACTGTAAACCTCACTTGGTTTTTCTTCGTCTGTGTCATCATTCAGTGACTCATGACTTTGAAAGTTTCAGATTAATAAATTATTTCTAAAACCAGTGTTTTAATAACTTTATTATCCTAATTAAACTAAACTAAATAAAACCAAAAATATACTGTAATATGATAGACATCTGCTATTTGAGAAATTATTTATGTTATTGGAACAACAACTCCAGCGCAAGGGAATGGGTCTAATCCTTGTACACACACCACCATGCGTGTTTCATTCGATTTCGTCGCCACAGTTCAGTGACCTACGGCCTCGAAATAATAAAATTAATAAATCGGTTCTAAAATAAGTTTTTTATATCTGTTATTATCCAAATAATGTTACTAAACTAAATATATAACCTAAAAATATATAATTTGATGTAAATCCAATATTTGAGAGAAATTTATGTTACTGGATCTGGCTTAAATACCAGCCTACTGCAGGGTGTATAGACCTAGTCTGCATTCATACAGTAGGCACCCAGTGTCGTTAGCTTTGTCTGCGAGTGACGTGTTTGTCAGTCGGTGGAAGAATAATCATGGAATTTACCATTTTTTTACTACAGCTGTATTAATATTATACAACAAGACATCTCAAGGGCTTGCTAATTGTGCTATATCTACAAAGAGGAAAAGGCGTTTTCTTTCCATTGAACAGAAATTAGACAATAGAGAAACATGAACGTGGCTACTCCTTTACTAGGCTGCCAGCAGAATTTAATGTTGGGAAAAGTACAGTGTGTGATATCAAGAGACAGACAGGTGATATTAGGTAGTTCCTTGCTTCAAGTGATAGTGGTGCATTAAATAAAAGGAAAACGATAAAAGGTTCTACAAATACAAAATTAGACGAAGCTGTGTATAAATGGTTTAACCAGGAGCGGTCTGTGGGGCGCCGCAGGACACCATTAAGACGGCAGCAGATAAATTTGCACAAAAGATGAACATTGCAGATTTTCGAGCAAGTGAAGGATGGTTGCAAAGGTTTAGGAATAGGCATAATATTAAGAACAGGAAAGTTTGTGGAGAATCATTCATTAATGATCATCAAGTCATTAATCATTAAATGATTACATAATAAATGATCTAAGGCGTTTTCAGGTAAACAATGCCGATGAAACAGGCTTTAATTGGAAATGCTTGCAGAACAACACTTTGGCATCTAGGCTAGATGAGTGTGTTCCTGGCCGTAAGGTAAACAAAGTTTCTGCCAAGCTGTGTGCAAATGCAGACGGAAGTCACAGAACAAAGTCCACCATTGTGGGGAAGTAAAAAAAAAACCACGTGCTTTGAAAAATTTAATGAACAAGCTACCTGTGGTCTACTACAACTCTAAAACAGCTTGGTTTACTGGAGATATTTTTGTAGACTGGTTCAAAAATCATTTTTGCACAGAAGAGATTTTCAGATAAGCCTTCTAATACCACCTCTCTGATCCAGCCAATGGATATGGGTGTAATATATGCAATGAAGAGGCACTACAAACGAGGAATGAATAAAGAAATCATGGTCGTGTTTGAGTCAGATGAAGACAAAAGACAAGGAACCGATTCGCGAGGTCAAGCAACACTGGAACGTTACAAAAAATACTCAATTAAGGAAGCAATTTACAACTGGGCTAAAGTTTGGGATGAAGTTAAAGTGTCAACACTAAGAAATTGTCGGAAAAAACTCCTGTTGCTTGATCATGCTGATGAAGTGACTGAGGAAGAAATGGATTTTGAAGGATTTTCAAATGATATTTATCAAGAACTGCGTGTCGCTGGTGAGGTGGAGTTGACGCTGAATGATGTGGAGGAGTGGTTAGATATTGATGCAGTCGATCCACCCATTGGTTATTTAAAAGATGATGAGATCATCCAAAATGTTACTGGTACTATTGACAACTATGAAGAGGAAGATGAGGATGAGCATGATAGCAGGTTACAATCTACTACATGTGCTAACACATTGTTCCATGTTGAAAAACTCATTGGTATTGTTTCACAAACTGACAATCCAGAGCTACCAGGCATTTATCAACACCTAAGGATGATGAAAGATATTTGTCTCAAGGACATGACAAAAGGAAGGAAACAAATGAAAATGAGTCAATATTTTAAACGAACTAGTAGCAGAAAATCAACCAGCACAGCCGTACCCAGCACCAGCTCAGAAGCAGCTGAAGCGAACACAGCAGCAGCAGCAGCAGCGAGCACCAGAATTGAGAATTGATTCAATTATGTTCATCAGTGAACAAATACTTTGTCGGTTATTACACTATATACACAGATTATACATAAGTATCTGCATGTTTTGTTCACCATAACGAACCATTAAGTTGCTATTATGAGTCAAAAAGTAATGAGGAGTGACCGCCACACACCAGCCAGCCACTCACTCCCTCAACACCTCACTCGCCCCACATTCTCCTCCCACCATACTGTTTTTTCTTTTATTCACTAAATACAGACGTTATATATAAGTATCTACATTCGTGTTCACCATAACGAACCACTAAGTTGGCATACTGAGTGGCAGTGGCAGCCCGCCACTGGCTGCTACTTCCTCCCTCCCTCAAGTCACCTGACTCACCCACATTCTCTACTGTTTTTGCTTTTATTCACTATATACAGACGTCATATATAAGTATCTACAGTCGTGTTCACCATAACGAACCACTAAGTTGGTATGCTGAGTGGCAGTGGCAGCCCGCCACTGGCTGCCACTCCCTCTCTCCCTCCCTCACCTCACCTGACTTGCCACCATTCTCCTCCCACCATACTGTTTTTGCTTTTATATAGACGTTACATATAAGTATTTACATGTTTTGTTCACCATAACTGTACATCTAAGCTTGTATGGTGAGTAAAGGCACAAAGACATAGCTACTAACACAGTCAGCTGGTGGCGGCCGCCCTCAAGGCCAGACGCACTAATATTTCTCCTCCAACAATACTGTTTGTGGTGTTATTACGCTATATACACACATTATATATAAACATCTAACCGTTTTATTCACCATACTTGTACAAGTAAACTGGTATGGTGCCCAAAGACCATCGTGGTCACCAGTAAACATGATAAATCGTGCAGACGACGCCACCTCCCTCACCAAAATGACGACTCCCAACCTACTCCTCTTGCTGTTTATACCCTCTATACACACGTTATATATAAGTATCTACGTTTGTGTTCACTATAGCGAACCACTAAGCTGGTATGGTGAGTGCAGTCAATAAAAGGTGGTCACACACAGTCAGAAGACGACGCCACAACCCTCCCTCCCACAGCCTTACGCCTCCCTCCTTGGAGCACAGTGCTAAATATCACCACAATCCTGCTATTATCAGAATCCTTGTCAGTTTTATCAGTCAGGGGTCTTCTATAATACTATCATAGCTAAATAATAGCATGATCATATATATTATGGCATTTGAAGGCGATGCTTCCTGATAGCAGGATTGTTGTGATAATTAGCGCTGTAGTGGGAGGAGAAATCTTGATGGGGAGGGAGGTAGCATTGTCTGCTGACTGTGTGACCACCTTTTACTGTCTGGACTCACTATACCAACTTAGTTGTGTGCTATGGTAAACAAAACATGCAGATACTTATATATAACGTCTGTATATAAAAGAAAAAACAGTACGGTGGGAGAATGGTGGCAAGTCAGGTGAGGTGAGGGAGTGGCAGCCAGTGGCGGGCTGCCACTGCCACTCAGCATACCAACTTAAATGGTTCGTTATGGTGAACATGAATGTAGATACTTATATATAACGTCTGTATATAGTGAATAAAAGCAAAAACAGTATGGTGGGAGGAGAATGTGGGCGAGTGAGGTATTGAGGGAGTGGCAGCGAGTGGGTGGCTGGTGTGTGGCAGTCACTCCTCGTTGCTTTTTTGACTCATAATACCAACTTAGTGGTTCGTTATGGTGAATAAAACATGCAGATACTTATATATAACCTGTGTATATAGTGTAATAACCGAAAAAGTATTTGTTCACTAATGAACATCATAATTGAAATCAACAATATGCACACCATATTTTTGAGTACAGTGATGATTCACTCATTTTATTATATAAATATATTACACTACACACTATTGAATAATATTACAGAAAAAAAACTGTGAAAAATCAATCAGAGACATTGAAATAATTAGGTAATTATCTCTTTGTGGCCACTTCTGCCTGACAGCTGTGAGCAACACTGTCTGGGATGCACGCTGAGTCAGCACCTGTTTTTTGCCCTGGGTTCTTAGTTGGAAACCAGAGGTCCAATTGAGCTCTAAATAATTACTATACATTAATTCATAGCATTGGATCATGTGAGAAGGAGATTTAATTAACAATAACATTGATATCATGGCTCCTTAAACCTAGGGTATGCATGTATTCCCGTCGTCCTTGCCAAACGTAAGATGAATCTTGTTTCTCAGAGCATTCAGAATCTGAGCTTGTTGATTATTAAATATGATATTGAACCAATTATCAGCTATTCTTAGAATTATTAAAGTAACCAGTAATGAATGTCTGAGTAAACTTGTGATGATTGCTGCTGTATGATCAGCCGAGTATCCATCCCGGCAGCATACTTAAACCAACTCGAGCAGCTGTGCTCTCTCTTCTCTCTGGCTAGCAGCTGTGGCGTCCTGACTCTCCCAGTGGGGCTCTGTCTTCCTCCCCCTCCTTTCTCCTCTCCTTATAATCTATGTTCTACAAGTTAAGTACCCATTACTGTATCATGCTACTACCTAGGTGTGTGTTTTGTTTAGAGGTATTTTAAGCAAGTGTTTTGGCATCACTAAGTATACTCCATTGTGACTAAGGTACCACATGGGTCATAGCTACCCCAGGCTGCTTCAAGCCTTGCAAGTGCTTTTCTCCCAGTAGACTTTACCCTAGTCTTGTAAGTGTAAACCTTGTATCCTGTCTATGTGGACCAAGGTGTTTAACGTAAGGTAGAGTGGTAAAGTAAATAGCTGTACTGTATTAATGTATATGGGGGGGGTTATTAGAGGGGTTAATAAATAAGGTATAAGATAGGAGTTTTCCTTTCATCCTGCTGAGTGTGGAATAGGGGATTACCTTAGCCTACAGACATTTATTCTAACCTAACTATTATACTTACTGGGAATATTCTTCCCCTGGGGGCCGGGGCCTAACTATTGCCACTATTTTAGGAACTCTTATCTTGTACTATTGGCCCTCTCAGTACAATCACTTGCCATCCATAACAGCAACACAAAGGTTAACCTAGTAATTAGCAGAACAAGAATTGATCTTATCTAATTTCCTTTTTTACTTGGAGGTGGTCTGTTGAGCTTAATGTCTGTTCTTTTCTGTTACAGTAAATTGGTCTCGGTGGCGGTGGCTCGAGTCAAGGTTTTCCACTGGCTTTAGTCACCAACTTAATGACCAGCTTATTTTAAAGATCACTGCTCATGGAAGGTGAGCAAGTAATTTGAGCGTGGTGGGTGGAGTGTGTCACTGTAGACTCATGCTGGCTGCTGGCTCAGGAGAGTTTTTGAGGGGACCTCAGCTCAGAGAGAGGAATTGGCATGGAGACAGTGTAGGGAAAAATCATAATTATGGAGAATTCAATTATAAGAGTTAAAAATATCATAAAACTATATCTTGCCTTATCAAAGCCTTTACTGGACAGTCTGTCACCTAGTACTGGACCAATTCCTGCTAATTCTGTCACCTCCTTCTCTCCCATGGGCTCTGCCACAAAATTACGATGCTTCTGACTTGTTGAAGACATGATGGGCTGCAAAATACAAGAGTATGGACTTATTGTTAGTTGGAATAAGTTACATTAGGTATTTCCATAATTCCCAACTTTGACAGGATAATTAAAGCTGAACAATTCAGTCATATTGTTAGAAAATCAACCAAGCACTGAATGTAACTATATTTTTATTATCTGATGTTATTATCTGATTCTTATGGAACTATTTTTTTACAAATTTTAACCTATAAGATGAACCTTAAGTCCAAGTTTCAGCATTGTAACTGAGACAGACAGAGGCCTGTAGAGCACTGGTCACCCAGGGCAGAGAAAAGAATACAAAGACAACACACAGACAGCAGCAGACACAGAAAAAGACAGAAGTTGGGGGCGAAGAAAGAATAGGTGGATATTTGCAGAGAGGAAAGTAGAAGGGGGGAAATTTAAAGAGGGAAGGGGAGAGGGCGGAGAGGGGCAAGAAGTGTGAGAAAAGAAGAGGAGACAGGATAGGAGAAAACGATGGTTAAGTAGGAGAGTGGTGAGAGGAGACAGGATAGGAGAAGATAGGGAAAGAGATGAATGAGGGAGAGATTGTGAGAGAGGGCCAGGCACAGCTGGGTAACCCTCTCAAGTAGTCATAAACCCATGGAATTGACTACCCACCAAAGCCATGCTAAATGCAAAGACATTACACCAGTTCTAAATCCAATTGGAAAACATCTTCAGGAACAATACGGGCCTTCGACAAGCCGCCAGCTAGTTGAGGCTATTAGCCATTAGAGATAGGGATCTTAGGGTAAATTTGGATAAATGATTATATGATAATATGAACTTATATTATCTCTACGAAAATTAATGTGATATCTCGAGCATACTTTTCAAATTTGAAAATACTCTTTCTACAGAAATTGATGTTGGTAGATCATTTTTTAAATAAATATTTTAATAAAAATATTATTGTATTTGTATGAAGTAAAACATCTTCTATACCTTTGAGTTCAAATATTGAATATGTACAGGATAGGATATCAACATAACATGGACCAAAGGATGAAAAGTAGTGCTTATTGTTTCCTATTTATAACTTTATTTATTATTGAGCAGGTTGCTTTTACTTCTTAAATCAGAAAGACTGATCAAGTCCTTAAAACCAATCTCATATAACAAATGAAATTAATACAGAGAAACATTGGAAGGACAGTCAAACATACTGAACTCTAGTATACATGCTGATATAATGATTGTCAGAAAGTTATCCTAGATCATGGGACATGGGCTTAAAGCTGGTTGATTGGGTGTAACATGGTACAGCACTAATAATAAAACTTGCCACTAATAGAATTTCTTAAAAGTTCAATGTTACAGCTATGGTACTGGTACTATGTGGTGCTCCCATCCTTTGGTGCCCTAAGCTACAGCTATGCTAGCTGTTCTGTGGTGGCCCCCTTCGCTAGGTGCCCTAGGCACTTGCTTATATTGCTTAATGATTAATCCCAGTCAGCCTTCATTGTGAGTAATTATCAGAAGTTGGCTCCAAGTTGGTAACGATTATATAGTGCTCTCAAGATAAATTCAGATAAAATAAATACTTCTATAAAACAGATGTCTGTCTGTCCGACATTGGAGCCCCAGAAACTTGGGACTACCCTCACTCAACTTTGCATGGTAATTGCTGTGGAGTAGATGGGTGGGTCGGAATCAGTCCCATTGATCCTATTAAAAGTGGTTGGGTCTCATTGCAAAATCCCCCCTCCTTCAATGAAACTGATGGACGGTGACCAAGACCTTAGAATATCTTGACAGTCATAAGTGGGTTGGTATCAGCCCACATGCCACAACCTTTAGGTGCTTGGGTTGACTCGGGAACCAGATCAACCCAAGCACTGAGTCAACACAGCCACTAGGTCAACCCAAGCACTGAGTCAACATGGGCTCAGGTTGACATGGGAACCTGATTGACACGGAACACATGCCTCTATTATCCAAGCAATGCTGGGTACCACCTCTAATATAATACTGATAATACATAAACAAAACTTCATGGTTAGCGTAGACTAGCAGGGTCAGATTTGACTGCCAACTGCTAAGGATTCTTCTGGTAAGCATACGTCTCCTGATAATATAATACTGTACTAATACAGTAATTAAATATATTATTATTTATTATTTAAAGCAAAGTATATATAAACAGAAAATACAAGTATTTTGTAGGATATCATCCAGTAACCCAGATGAAACTCTTGGCAATCCAGATTTCTGTCAGAGTTTAGTGAAGTTTGGAAGACAAAACTTGAAACTGAAATTGAGCCTGTTGTCTGATCCTCCATTACGGCACCCCAGCATGGTACAAGATGTGTAAACTATGGTATATATTAGTCAGTCCCCTTGTGTGTAGACCGAGCTAAACACCAATACAAACTTGACCCATAGTCATGGGAGCAGGTAGATCTTGGCTTGACTGCTGTTGAGATAAAACTAGAGACAAAACTTGGACTCGCTTTTGTCATGATTCCCCAAAGGTCCAGGTTAACAAGGTCTGGATTAGCGAGATCTCACAGTATATAATTTTGTTATTATTTTTAGAAATTACAGTAAACACTTGAATAATTCTGTATTATCTTTTAAGAAAATTAATTCATAGTTATTATCGAGACAATTAAGAATTCCGGGTTCGAATCCCAGGAGGGAATGAAATGGTTGGGCACGGGGCACGTTTCCTACCACCTATAATGTCCCACATCACCTAGCAGTAAATATGTACCCAGGAGTTGGTCAGTTCAACCCTGGAGGGAGGGGTGGCATCAATATAAGCCTAATGAATATGCAGCATATATATACACTGGCTGCCTGTCCCCAGACAATAAATTGTAATTATTAAAAGTTAAGTATTATTTGTGAACTTTTAAATATTGTATATTATGTTTATCCTCATTTCAACAAATTTTAGTTCATGAATACACTGTACCCACCAAATTGTCCTGAACTTTTACGATAATTTCTGGCAGCGAACACGTTCATTCAGTCTCCGTGGTGAAGTGGTAAGACACTCCCCTGGCGTTCTGTGAGCGCTTTGTCCTGGGTTCGTATCCTGGCCGGGGAGGATTTACTGGGCGCAAATCCTTAACTGTAGCCTCTGTTTAACTCAACAGTAAAATGGGTACTTGGTTGTAAAAATGATTCTTCATGGGAGTCGTATTCTAGGGAACATAGGATTAAGGACTTGCCCTTACTAGTGGCTGTACAAGAATGTAAGAATTCTTGTATATATAAATAAATAAAATAAAATAAAATAATGTATGTTTAGGTCTAACAAATAGTAGGCTGCCCTAACAACAGGGGACCACCCTAACATGGGCTGCCTTAACTAGGGATTCACCCACAGGCTACATGAAACTCCATCAAGAATGAGTTAAATGAAGCAAATTACCCACTGGTAAAATCCATAAGCCTTACCAGTCAACCACACACACAAGGTATAGGCCTACCCCCGCCACTCAACATACAAGGACACAACACTACAACACACTCCCACAACTCCACAATTTAAACAAGAACACCAAGCCGATGATCCAACTGATATGGAAGGATGGTGAGAGTGAGGTAGGCGTGTGGCGTGGCGTGAGAGTGGAAGAGTTACCTGTAGCGTGAGGCGGAGAGTGAGAGGTCCCTGGTGGTGGTGGCGGCGGCACTCACACTTACCCGTCACTTGCTCACACTCCCGCTACTCCCCCCTCTTATCTCCTCTCACCCTCCTCCTCCACCCACCTCTCCCCACCCATACAATATACTTCATATTATACAAGTTAGTTCAACATTTAGGTTGTGTGTGTTATAATATATTTCAAACCAAAAAGGATGTGGTGAAGTCTGCCAAACACGCGGATAACTCGACAAACTGTACATCAACAACATTCGTTAACGTTATTTTAACCGAAAACGTTATTTTCCTTTTTTAAACTTTTTTATTAACAAGCTTATATAAATAATAAATATGTTTATTCAGGTAAGGTACATACATACAAGTGATGTTACATTAATGGATTGATATATAGATAGAGCTAGTACATACAGTGCCTAAAGCCACTATTACGCAATGCGTTTCGGGCTTAGGTATATACAGCAATGTGCTGCTACCATATTCTATATGAAAGATTACATAGTGTAGATCAAAAACTAAACATATTATCATATATCACAAACTTTATTTGTAGAGCATTTAAACAAAACACTATAATTCTGCTTATGTCAAACAACAGTAAAAAATAGAGAAAAGTTATTAACAGATTATAATTCGAGAAATGGTATAACAGAAGTTAGTTAAGTATATTTATTATGCGTCTCCTAAGGCTCCCAACGTCAAGAAACTGTCGTACTAAAGTGCCCTTATCCTAACCTACCAGACGACCCAGAACACAACATGGGACATTATGTACAGGAACCGCTTTCATTTTCTAGTACGACGATTTTTGGCCTTAGGTAAAATATACTTCGAAATACGACACTGTATAGGCAACCCGTCCTCGACTCAAGTCCATTACATCCAGCAGTCGACCCCACAGACGCATTCATAAATTTTAATATGCTGTTCATTCAAAACGGGAATTTTCTCAAGTATAAATTAATATTATAATATATTAGCATATTGTGCATATATAGGCATAGGTTAGGTTAGGTTAGGTGTTTAGGTTCTGTTGGCGATTATTTGTATTTGTAGTACGTGGGTGAAGCATTTATAGCGCTGTGATTCGAACAAAATTCGTCAGTGAAACACTTGTTCCGGATATGTTCGAACGTCAGCAGTTGTGAGTCGTGTGTAAACCGCTTTTCATTCATAAACAGGGGGTTTGGCGGGTGCATGGAATCACTTTTGGGATTTTGTTTGGAGGACGGGAGCGGTAGCCAGGGGCACAGAGCCCCTCCTACCATCACACACCTCACGAGTCTGAGATGTTATGTGCTCCCCTAATTGTGCTTGCAGGGGTTAAGCTTTGGCTCTTTGGTCCCGTCTCTCAACCGTCAATCAACTAGTGTACAGATTCCTGAGCCTACTGGGCTCTATCATATCTACATTTAAAACTGTGTATGGAGTCAGCTTCCACCACATCACTGCCTAATGCATTCCATCCATTAACTACTCTGACACTGAAAAAGTTCTTTTTAACGTCCCTGTGGCTCATTTGGGTACTCAGTTTCCACCTGCAGTGTCCCCTTCTTCGCTTACCACCAGTGTTGAATAGTTTATCCTTGTCTACCCCTGTCAATTCCCCTGAGGATTTTGTAGGTAGTGATCATGTCTCCCCTCACGTCTGTCTTCCAGTGTCGTGAGGTGCATCTCCTGCAGCCTTTCCTCGTAACTCATGCCTCTTAGTTCTGGGACTAATCTAGCGGCGTACCTCTGAACTTTTTCCAGCTTCATCTTGTGCTTGACAAGATACGGGCTCCATGCTGGGGTCGCATACTCCAGGATTGGTCTTACGTATGTGGTATACAAGATTATGAACGATTCCTGAAGGCTGTTCCGATGTTAGCCAGCCTCGCATATGCCGCAGACGTAATTCTTTTTATGTGGGCTTCAGGAGACAGATTTGGTGTGATATCAATTCCTAGATCTTTCTTTCCGTTTCATTAAGTACTTCATCTCCTATTCATTATCCTGTGTCTGACCCTCCTGTTTCCACCGCCTAGTTTCATTACTTTCCATTTACTCGGGTTAAACTTTAGCAGCCATTTGTTGGACCATTCATTCAGTCTGTCTAGGTCGTCCTGTAGCCTCCTACTATCATCCTGTTTCAATCCTCCTCATAATTTTTGCATCATCAGCAAACATTGAGAGAAACGATTCTATACCCTCTGGGAGATCCTCGATCCCTTAGTATCCAAGGGGAGATTCCATCTGGGCCTATAGCCTTTGTCACATCCAACTCGAGTAAACACTTATGTTTATTCAGGTAAGGTACATACATACAAGAGATTTTACATAATTTGATGGATTTATAGATGGAGCTAGTACATACAATGCCTAAAGCGACTATTACGCAAAGCGTTTCGGGCAGGAAAAACATTAATGACTAAGACTTAATACTAATTGAGTATAACGAATAAAATGTGTTGAGAACAAATAAAAATAAAGATAAAAAAGGGGGAAACATGGCTGAAAACGCAAATGTGTTGAGAACAAACACAAGTTGAAGAGGTTCCTTATCTTATTATACAGCAGGCTTAGTCCAACAGATATAACTAGGATGTAGACACCAAATTTCCTCGTGTGAGGCAGCTTCCGTCACCCAGTAACTGATACACAAAGTTTGCTTCCTCTTCTTGACCTGTCAAAAGGGCACTAGCTAAAAGCCAGAATCCTAATATATGACAGCTATATCAGAGAAAACACTGTATAATGAATCATAAAGACTACAGGGCTCTCAACGTTCGTACTCTGCCGGATCGCTACCAAATACCACACATCCAGAATTTCTCACAGGAATTGAGCAACACAACCGTTTTTTTTTTAAATTGACCTTGTGCGGGCATTTCACCAGATCCCTGTAGAACCAGCAGACATTCCGAAAACAGCAATCACAATACCCTTTGAACTGTTTGAATTCGTCTGGATGCCTTTTGGTCTACGGAATGCAGCCCAGACATTCCAATGCTTCATCGACCAAGTAGTTAAGGACTTTCCTTTTTGCTACGCCTATATTGACGATCAACGATCAACGCTGGTGGCCAGTACATCACCAACAGAACTTCTGCTACACCACCGACTCCTCCTCAACCGTCTGCGCAACTTCGGCTTGCAGCTCAACTCCGAGAAGTGTATTTTCCATGTTCCAGAGCAAGATTTCTTGGGACAACGTGTGTCAGCAGCAGAGGTCCAACCACTAGAGAAGAAAATCGAGGCAATCAAGGAATTCCAGCGCCCATCCACTCCAAAGAAGTTGCAAGAATTCCTTGGCGTAGTGAATTATCATCATCGATTCATCCCACATTGTTCAGACATCTTGCGACACTTATACGACCTCTTACGTGGTCGAAAACACACGTCCCGTCTTCCGTTGGAGTGGACTCCCCAGGCAGAGACAGCATTCACCGACATAAAACACAAGCTGGCGGAATTCACCTTACTCGCACACCCAATGTCTGACGCTCCCACCAATCTCTACCGACACTTCAAACACAGCTATTGGTGCTGTACTACAACAGCTCATTGAAGGAGAATGGTGCCCAATTGCATTCTTTTCAACGCACCTGTCACCCACTGAAGAGAAGTACAGCACTTTTGATAGGGAACTGCTCGCCATCTACGCAGCCATACAACATTTCCGGTACTTCCTCGAGGGGCGGAATTTCCATGTCCTCACAGACCACAAACCCCTCACTTATGCTCTGGCGGCCAAGGGTGATGCTCACTCTCCTTGAGTAGCCAACTACCTGGGATTTATCTCCTAATTTACCTCGGATATCTGCCATGTCAAAGGAACTAACAATGTCATAGCCGATGCACTGTCTCGACCCACCATAATACACGTGAAAAACCCAGCTCAGGTGGACTATTGTGTAATCAGCAAGGCCCAACGGGAAGACCCTGATCTGCAGCGATTACGAACATCTGACACAGCTCTCCGGTTCATCGAGATTCCTATGGAAGGTGGCGGTAGTATAATCTGTGACACCTCACAGACGGGAGCACTTAGGCTCTACATTCCTGCCCAATTTCGCTGGAAAACATTCTCAACATTTCACTCCCTAGCACACCCAGGAGTACGTGCTTCCCAGAAACTACTAACGGAGCGTGTCGTATGGCCAGAAATCAATGCCGATGTTCAACGATGGACTCGCTCATGTCTCCAGTGCCAGCGAGCAAAAATACATCGTCACACAAAGAGCCCTCTTCAACAGTTCCCGTTACCTTCTGACCATTTCGAGGTGGTCCGTCGGCAAGAGGATATTCTTATCTACTCACCTACATCGATCGATTCTCCAGATGGCCGGAAGCATTCCCATTAATCAACATCTCAGCCGAGTCAATGGCCCAGGCTTTCCTCTTTGGATGGGTCGCCCATTTTGGCAGCCCCTCTGTCATCATCACCGACCAAGGACGGCAATTCAAATTATATCTATGAAAGGAACTTATGGAATTCCTCGGCACCACACACAACCGAACCACAGCATACCACCCTGAGTCTAACGGAATGGTAGAACGCTTTCATAGACAACTAAAAGCCGGCCTAAGAGCTCAAGCACGCCCTGATGATTGGATCGACAACCTTCCATTAGTCTTGCTTGGCATTCGTTTGGCCACAAAGGAGGGAAGTATATTCTTGGTAGCAGACATAGTATACGGATCTAGCCTGCGGCTTTCGGGCGAATTCTTAACCCCACAACGCCACTCATCACATCCCCAGATCCCACTTTTGTCCAGAAATTACGGGCGGCCATGACAAGCATTCGGCCTACACCACCACGCCAACCAACCAACAACTCGTGCTACATGTGCGCCTCATGAGCTCCACACATCTGAACACGTGTTTTTAAGAATCGACGTTGTTCGACCCCCTATACAGTCACCTTACGAAGGACCATTTAAAGTGGTTTCTCGAACACCGAAGTTCTTCACCATTGAACGCCAAGGACAGTGGGTAAACATCTCCATCGACCGCCTTAAACCAGCATACTGTGACGCTGCCCCAGACATCCTTCCAGAAACACATCCGCCGACTACGCCGTTCACTTTTCGACCACAGTTACCAGCAGTACCACCACCTACGACAACGGATGATCCTGTACAACCTCCCACCCTACAACCCCAGTTACCAGCTACACCACCACCTGATCCTAATAGAAGAGTAACTGCTACAGTATCTTAATTCACTCTTTATGGTTATTTATAAAAATAAAGAAGACAAATACAGTACTGTACAGTGAAGACTACTGGCACACAAAGGATATTAAAAATGAAATCATGAATATTAGTTTCACAGCTTTAATAAATTATATTTTTCTTAGCAGCTAAAACTGTGTTCCGCATCAACATGGCCACAGTCATTGGCCCCACACCACCTGGCACTGGAGTTATGTAAGAGGCTTTTTCTGCACAACCTGCAAAGTAAAAAAATAAGTGGTAACTTAGAGGTCCATTGATACGCTGATATATTAAACTCAAGTGAATAATAATAAGAATAATTCCCACTCTCAGGTAGAGGAAGCCTGTATTTAGGCTTGTAACAAGTTCCCCGCCCCACCCCCAAATGACATTCCTCTGGATGCAACACGAAACAGGATATACCAACATCCTGCTAGGTGAACTTGCACATCAGGTTAAAGGAAATGTGCCTAACTATTTCTCTCCTCCATGGAGATTGAACCTGGAATGTGCAATTGTGAGTCGAGCACGTAGCCCACAGTACTATACTAGTTTTAATTTGCAGATATTTATGCACTGCTTTGATGAATAGTGCAGTGTAATAATAATAATAATAATAATAATAATAATAATAATAATAACAATAATATGTTACTTCGGGCATTCATCAGAACATCACCCCAAAGAGAATGACGACAATTGAAATCACCCAGCAAGAGCAAGGAGTTCAGGAGGTGTTTCAGATCAGGAAGAGAAAGCGGGACACTCGGGGGGAGACAAATGGAACAAACTGTGTACCATTTCTCCACAAAGATACGAGCAACAGAACAATGGAGAGGCGAAGGAAAAAGTAAGGGGACAAAGGGAACATCAGAGCGAATCAAGAGAGCAGAAGAATTCGGAGCCCCAGCAACGCCTGGGGGGGGGGGGGTGAGAGAAAGGAATAGCCACGAAAATGACCAGGACGAGCACCAAGCATCGGCTCCTGGAGACAGACACAAAGGGGCGAAAACCGCGAAATCAGAAGTTGGAGTTCGAGGAAATTGGTGTAATAACCTTGAACGTTCCATTGAAGAATAGACATCGACGAGAAGAGAAAGGACAACAACAGAGAACAAGGAAGAAACAAAGGCGAAAGAGCAACATAGCACGTTAAAGAATATCAGGGTCGGGATCAGGGTCAGCAAAGTCAGGGTTAAGGCATGGGTAAACCGAGCAAAGACGGAGGGAAGGAAGCGGAAGAACAGACCAGCGGTGGGCGGGCGGGGTCTGGAGGAGGAGGAGGAAGAGGAGGGGACAACGGAGAGGAGCAGTCAAGGACAGCAGCAGGAAGAGGGGGAGTAGAAGGAGGGGAGCGCACCTCAGCAAGGGCAGCAACCGAGAGGGAAGCGGGGGCCAAAGAAACCTCCATAGCAGGAACAGGGGGCGCAACCACCGAAATGGGAGGGAAAGGAGCGATAGAGGCAGAAAGAGGGGCCGAGGAAGAAAGCAAAACCTTCTTACCCGTCGGGGAGGAGGATGGAGAGGAGCCAGGCTTAAGCTTCTGACTTAAAGAGACCAGTGTCCCAGCAACTACGTACTGGGCAACGGATTCCAGCGTCTCAACAGGAGAAGCTGAACGAGAGCACACACGACGGCCGTTTGGAGAGCGATGGACATCAGCCCGCACCGACAGGCGGCGGGGAGAGGCAAGAGACGGAGGGGAAGAATGGGAAGGAGAAACGGAGGGAGTTGACCAGACCACACACTAGAAGTTAAAGGGACGACGACATTTCGGTCCGTCATGGACCATTCTCAAGTCGATTGTGATGAAGAGGTAGAGACAGGCAATAAATAGGCAAGAGAGAGCTGAGGAGGAAAGTAAGGTGTAGGGGAGAACTGCAGAAGGCCTATTGGCCCATACGAAGCAGCTCCTATTATAACCACCGAAGGAGATAGTAATAGGAATAAGAAGAGGATAGAATCTTTCCTGCCTCTACTCTACACAGACGCCGTCTTGTAGAATCGGCTCTTATACACAATGTACCCAACATGAACTTGAGTCCTGGCTATGTTGCTGTGGACTCTTCCCTTTCACAGTATATACTCAAATGCTCTAATCTTTCTAACAAACGTGACTTAACATAAGCTTACCCCTTCCATTTATCTTTCTTTCTCTTTCCTTTTCTTTCTCTCTTCTCCCCTTTTTCTGTTCATTGTCTTCTCCTACGCTCCCTTGCTATCCTCGTCTTATTCCTATTATTCCTAGTCCAGCAATAACTGGACTAGGGGAAAAGAGGTACAGGTAACCCTACCACAACCAGTACTGCTGAAAAGCGTCTACAGCGATAGCTTCGCAGTTGGGGAAGGGTGCCACATACACTGGGAGACATCTCGATTACGCAGACATGGGGAGGTCCACCTCCGGGGGGCCCGAACACCCTGCAAAGCCAACTGAAGGAGTCGGCATCGACCGTCCATGAAATGGACTGGGAAATGAACCAAGACAGGCTATCTGCCAGGACATCGGACACGCCCCCTGATGTGAGCCACACAGAGAACTAAACCCCGAGAACTTGGCAGAAGATCCACTCTAAGCGACCAGGCCCAAAGAGCCAAGAACCAGAGAGTCCCCACACGGTTCAGGCCAGAGGGGGTCCAGAGGTAAACCGAGGTGAACTCTTCACCCCTGAGGTGAATCACTGGGGTGCAGTTCGAATGGAGCCGGATCATAGAGCCTCGAGCAAGCTGAATCTACCGCAGGGAAAGCCACATCGCGGCAAATTCCCGCACCGTGCTGTGGGTCTGACAGAGCAACGGAGCCCACCACCCCTGGCTGGCTTGGTGAACACTGGTCACAAAGCCCAGCAAAGAGATGGAACACATCAAGTGAGGGATCCGGAAGACATCATAGCACTGAACCTCGAAAAACCCAAAGAGGAAGTCGGAGACACTGCAACAGGTGCATGGCCCCTGGTGGACGAACCTAGAGATCACAAGAGCGGTGGAAGGGAACAAAAGCAGAGAACATTCACATGCAGTGAGGGTAGTCAACAAGTGGAATGCGAATATGACTTAGAAATAAAACAAGAAATTAAAAGACCAGGATCAAACAGGTAGGAGGCTGGCCAAAATTGTTAGAGCTGACTCCCTCAGACACTGACAGATAAGCAATGCTGGAGAGGGGCTGCTGAAACAGCCTCAACACAAGTTTGCCCAGTATTGCCTGCAGTGCCAGTGGAAAGATATAAATAATTTACCTCACCCAATCCTGTTATGAAGTGTGGGGAAAGCAATGACAATTTTTTCCCTCCATCACATCATTAAATGGTGAGAAAATCCACTGGAGTTTTTTTTAATTAGTTACGACCTAATACTGCCAGAAATTTAAGAATTTATACTTACTTTCAAAGTCACAATCGCCAACAAGTTTGGGTTTGCCTGTAATAGGATCTGTGATTCGATTAATTCCAACATCTAGTATGGCACATCCTGGCTTGATCATATCTCCAGTGATGAGACCTGGAAGGCCAGTTGCAGTAACAATGATGTCTGCTCTAGCAAGAAAGAAACATAGTTGCTCCATTGGTGTATAGCGATGACATATAGTTGTTGTTGAATCCATACCACCAATTTCTCCTGTGGAGATTAAGGCAGAGGCAGTAATGTCTTTCATTCAAATCATATCTGTGTACATTTATATTACTGGGTTAGACATGGCTAATGTTAACTCTACTTCCACTAAAATGACTATAAAAAATAGTCTAATAACTTTTTATTTAAATGACAAAATATGCCTCTTATTTAAATGCTCAAGGAAGACCTTGAGTTATAAAATCAAACTTAGTCCATACCATCTGTGCGAATACCATCTCCATGCAGCAGCATAGCAATGGGCATCCCAACATTCTTACTACGACCACAAACTACTGCATTCTTGCCAAAGGTCTCTATGTCTGAAAGTAAAATAAATTATGTAATTTTTCTTTTATATATAGTACTTAAGATTTTGAAATCTAAATTTTGTAACCAAAGAAACAACAAGAACATTAATACAGTAACTACAGCCACTGACCCTGCATTTGATCTGGTCAAGAGCAAATGCTACCAAAATACTGAACCGTTCACAAATACAAATAAACAAATTTGTGTTTGCCAAAAACCCAGTATTGAATGCAATGACACGCCTTTTTCTGAAGGAGCCCCAGGGGGGGGGGGGATCTTAAAGCTATCTTCCTGAGATTGCTTCATGGTCACATCATTTGTGGAAGTTCTGTTTGGCCTACCAGGGACCTGAGCCAGAACCTAGCCCCCCCTCCCCCTCACAGAGGTGCTGAGCAGGTGACAATCTGCCACCCCACCAAAAAAAGCCTCCAGGAAGTCAGTGCAGCTTTTCTGCACTGACGGCTTCCTGGAAAGCCTCCAGGAAGTCAACTGGAGCACTCACAAGAATGGAGACACGAAATCACCAAACAACTCTGCAATCAATTCACATGGAACAGGGGATTCACTCAAACAAGCTCGAAACTCGTTAGTACCAATTATCACCACCAGGCAGCTCAGCCCAGACTTCCAGCTGGCTTACCAAATAAGTTCTGATGTAGATAAAATAAACCCATGACAATCCGACGAACCTGGAATGAGGGTTTTCAGGAAAGCCACCAGGGCTCTTCCAGAAAAAGGAATTCCATTACATTCAATGCTGGGTTTCTAGCAGGAGCACCTGAGTGGCTCCCTGAGGCTAACTAATCCCAGAGAACACGAAGGAACTTATCAGGAGCAGCAGAAGCAGTAGGAACTAAGACACAGAAGAAAACCCAGGTTGGGTAACATGGCCCAAGGCCACATGAGACTGACTTGGACCAGTTCATTAACCAAATTCCTAGCCACCAACGCCATGTTAGGATGCCAAAACACCCTGAGCCCGAATATTGGCCCAGCACATATTAGGGAAGACAGCAGCCAAAACTACGTATTTATGAACATCACGGCCCTGAAGGTTGACTGCAAGCTGGCTAGACTTTATGACACTGCTAACAACATGAGAGATGTGATCCTTGGAACAGGGAACCAAGGAAATTGGGTCAACCAACAAGGCATCCACTGAGACAGATCCAGTGATGAGGTCACATCTGGATCATAAATAAGGCAGGCTGCCTCACCAGGTCACTATCACAATCATCAGTCACTTACAGGCTCTCATGCATCCAATTCATCACGAGAAGTGCTATTCACAATACTGTATAGCCACACAACTTGGTCAGGAACTAGAGCCCAATCCTTCAAGCTAACCACCTGTGGGCAAAAATCCTTGATTTTTCCCGAGATGGCAGATGTTTGTCAGAGGCCCCAGGCGCCAATTGGGATCCCAGTGCACCCAAGTGAGTTTCAAGTGAGTGCAATGAAATATGTTATTGGTAGCTAAAAAATCACAGGATGGTACGTGCATCATGGGTCGAACATCTGAGGAAGGTGTACAGAGTGCAAGGGTTAACCATGTTGGAGCATAACCATCACACCCAAGCTTAGGAGCTAAGTGCCACTGACAGTTATGAGAACAATGGCCTATGGAGGTGAGGCACATCCAGCATGACATGAGTTACCGAAACATATTAAGGCTACCAGAAGCCCTGTTCTGAATATTATCTTTGCACCCTTGGCTTACATATTTAATAAATTACTAGTTGAGCAGAGTAATAGAGTCACGGAAGTTGCAAGTGGAAAGATGTGCTAAACGGATAATTGCAAAGTCATTCATTTACACCTTAAAAAGCATATACTTTAGTTTGTCAACTTTCTGGATGCCTTTCCTGGTGAGGTAGTGTCACTTGCTCCCTGTGCCTCTGTGAGGGAGGGCCAGATTCTGGCTCTGGTCTCAGGTAGGCCAATCAGAACTTCATGGCTGAAGTAATTTAGTAGTTGGGAGCCATCTCAGTAAGATAGTTTCAGGAAGTCACCATGGCTCTCCCAGAAATTGGCATTTCATTACATTCAACACTAGGTTTTTAATCACTGTCTTTTTCATGCTCTATCTAATCATGGAAAGAAATCTGAGAATTTATTTAATTGTTTGGTTTTCATTCTCTCATAATTTTAGATTTTTCCTAATTTGAAGGTCTTCACTCTTAAATCTTTTCCTTTTTCACTAGCTAGTGGAAATTGGATCAACAAGCTTCACACCCTTTTTTAGCAGCAGCCTCCACCTTAATTCCTTGGCAAGAATTTGTCTCCTACTGTTTTACGGTTGCTATACACCTCTGGCATGGTTTGTCCAACAATCTGTACATAATACAATGTCTTTTGGCAGTGTTGTGCCAGTCTCCTGGCTTGGTGTACCTCCTATTACTCTGCTATGTTACTCAATGTTCTAAGGATTCTCTCTCCCAGCTTTTTATAGTGGGTGATATATCTTAGTCAGCCTAGTCCATAACCATATGCACATGATCTGAGGAAATATGCCACCGCTTTCTTCTCAGTCAAGTCCCGATCAGACATTGGGGTTTCTGGAGATTGAATCAAACATCTGCTGCTAGATACTTTCCTAAGGTGTTTCAACCAGGGCAGCATTGTATTACCCTGGATCATACCACCTTTGGCTGACTGGTTTGGCAGCTGGAGTCCCGTGATCTCTGCTCCAGATCACCTTCCACCTGTGCCTTCCCCCCATTCTACAGACGTTTTGGTTGGTTCATAACAATCTTTATCCGCGTTTGTTGCTTTGCATACCATGATGAATTGCCTACATAAACATCAGAGGGGTTTTATCCCAGAAATAGGGTGATGAACCAACCTATCCTCTTACTGAATTATACCCGAATGCACTACATTTTTTATGCAATTGGCCCCAGCATAAAAATTGTGTTTAGAGAAATTTATAACCCTTTATTATTGATTCTTTTAGGGACTAATGGGAATCAGCTCTGGAAGGTTAAGTGGGTTGCTTATAGTTAGGCTATTTCACTATTTTTTATGTAGGGGAAATCAAGAGAACAGACTAGAGGAACATAGTGAAACAATCCTATGAGCCAGATTCTCAGGTATTCCCATTACCACCCATGTTGTTCTGTTTTCCCTGTTGTGCTTGGTTTGTTTAAACTGCAAGTGGGAGGTAGGAAGCTCCTTTAGCCCTGTTGTTGTGTTAGTGGCAACACCTGTGATCTTAGTCTTCCAAATATTTCATATCAGTGGAGTGTTTTGAGAGTTGTGGTTGAATCTTTTATACAGAATCACAAGGAGTTGGTACACTCTGTGATGCCTTGAGTTAACCTTACCATTGTCTCCCTTAAATCATCTCAAGATTCCCTAAATATGTGACTACATGCAATGATTCCAGTCATGATAGGCATAAAATTCATGTCTATCATGACTGGATGTATGTTGTGAGTCTTGAGATGGATCATATTTATGTATGTGTAAACATGCAAAAATGTGTTTTCAGTTTTGCAGTAAGAGAACATCCAAAGATTTTAAAACAAAAAAATTAGAAAATATCTGAAAGTTCAGAATATTTGTAAGTTTAAAACAGGTCTGGCTCCAATTAGTCCAGATTTTTGAAAGTGCAGAATAAATTACTGTCTTAAGCAGCATTTATGAGTATTAGAGAGCAACAATTTAACATTCTCTAGATACTCTCTAACTCTTTTTAACAAAGTTGCTTCTTTATCTTTCCAAATGTTTCTGTACAATATTACAAAGCAACACAAAATATATGTTTCTGAACATCCTGAAGACACAGATAAAGAGGGGGTCTACTGACACAGCTGAAACTAGGAATTACAAAGGGTGGGTTAAATTCAAGCCATCATACAATTAACAAAATTTGAGCTCTATGATATATATATAAATAAAACACACAACTATGTATGCAAGAATTTTTATCAACAAAAGGAAGAAAAAGAAAAACATGCACATCATCACATTTGACTCACCATACCGCTTAATAAGCTCCATGACCCCTAACGGGGTGCATGGAGCCATACTGCTCATATCTAAACAAAACCTGCAACAATAATACATTTTCAGGTTCATGTTCAATCAATAGTCTCATGCACATTATATGCTCCATGTAATTACCTAAGTGTAGTTACAGGATGAGAGCTATGCTCGTGGTGCCCCGTCTTCCCAGTACTTTTTGTCTTATAACACTTTGAAACTACTGACGGTTTTGGCCACCACCACCATCTCGCTTAACTTGTTTCAACTGTCTACCACTCTGTTTGCAAAAGAAAACTTTCTAATATTTTTTGCCAGCTTTGTTTCTTTTGGTTGAACCCGTGTCCTCTTGTTCATGAAGTTGATGGTTTCAGGAATTCCTCTTTGTCAATTTAGTAGATTCCTGTTAGTATTTTGTAAGTGGTATCATATCACCTCTTTCTTCTATCTTCTAGTTTTGGCATGTTTAATCCCTCTAATCTCTCCTCATAACTCTTGTTTTTCAGCTCCGGAAGCCGTTTTGTACAATGCCATTGCACCTTTTCCAGTTTATGCACTTCTTAAGATTTGGCCACCATACAACTGCTGCATACTGTATTCAAATTTTGGTCTCATAAAAGTCATGAAGAGTTTCTTCAGTATTTCAAAATTCATGTAATTAAAAGCAGGTGTGAAGTTGGAAACCAACGCATGCGCTCCTCTCACAATGTTCTGTGCGAGTTCCTCTGGTCACAGCTTACTATCCAAAATCACCCCTAGGTCTCGTTCTTTATTCGAGTCCTTTACCCCTCATCTGCACCTGCCAACAAATGTCGTTTTGAGAGTTGTCCTTTTTTTTGTTGAATTAGGCTATATTTTAATGTTTTTAAATGTTTTCATCACTGTGTTTTGAAATGAAAATAGTCGAGTTTGGAAACATTTTGACATTAACTTTATCTGAACATCTATAAAAACAACAAAAATATGTCCTTAACAATTGCACTATGAAGTTTTTGTCAAAAACAGGTGTGCAGTGCAGGGGTTAATTCCTTTCCACATAATTTGTAAGTGAGGACTCCATCTACAAACATGTTTATATAATTCTGTATTCCTTCTGGTTGATTGTTTATGTAGACAATGAATATTACTAATGCAAGAACCGAGCCCTGTGGTGGTACTCTAGTAACACTCCTCCAGTCATATATTCTCTGATTACTGCCCTCATTTGACTGTCAGATAATTTTTCCTCCATGTCTTAAGTATCCCTGTCATCCCTCCAGCAAGTTCCAGTTTCCAGAACAACCTCTTGTGTAGGACTCTGTCAAAAGCCCTTTTTAGGGCCAAATACACAGTCAACCCAACCATCTCTTTCCTGTAAAATCTCTGTGGCTCTATCATGAAAGCTAAGTATTCTACCGTAGACTTTTTACACATGATCTTTCTATTTGAAAACCATACTGACTGACTTATTATGTCATTACTCTCCAGGTGTAATTTTTTAACAAGAAAAACTAGAATTTTTTTTCTAGTGTTTTGAATACTATGCTTGTTAATGAACTGGGTCTATAAACAATAGGGTCTTTCATGCTACCATTTTTGCACATTGGAACAATATTTGCTTTTTCCTATATATTTGCCAAGGCTCCAATACAAAAAATTAGCTGAAAAATCAGTTAGAGTAAAGTGCTGAGCTCAGATGCACATTCCCTCCAAACCAAATGTGAAACTCCATCTGGGTCAACTGCTTTGATCTTACCTAGCTTCTTTAGCATTTTTCCCACTTCATCTCAAGACACCTCTATGTACTCTATGGTATTCTCTGAAATTCATATTGTATTTGGTTCTCTGAAGACTTCATTTTGCACACACACACTTTGGGACTCTTTGTTTAGTGTTTCACACATTTCCTTTTAATTCTCCATGAATCTGTTCCATTTTCAACCTCTGGATTTTATCCTTTATGTACATTTTGCTTATAATGAATTTATAGAATGAGCCTGGTTCAGTTTTAGAGTTACTGTATATGCAATTCCTTTCTCAAAGTTTCTTTCTGCCTCTCTTCTCACTGCTGTTAATAATAATAATAATAATAATAATAATAATAATAATAATAATAATGAGAATTCACTAGGGCTGTGAGGTGGCATGAACCTATGACCTCGGCATTGCCACCTCACAGCCCTGGGGCATTTTCTCATTGATATATATCATGTTAGTGTGATATCTGTGTTAATAATAATAATTTTATTTAACAAATATACAAAAGAATAACATACATTGTGTAATCATTGTTACAATGTATATTTAATAAGATCACAAATACATAAAGCGTTTCATGGGCATAACTTAAAATAATCAAGTTTTTTATTTATTTATTTATATATACACAGTACAAGTGTTCTTACATTCTTGTAAAGTCACTAGCATGCATAGCATTTCAGGCAGGTCCTTAATCCTTATTTTCCCTGGAATCCGACCCATCAAATTGTTTAACACTCAGGTACACATTTATTGCTGGGTGAACATAGGTATACAGTTAAAGATTAGCACCTAGTCAACCCTCCCCAGCCAGGATACGAACCTAGGCCAAATCACTCTCGAAGTGCCAGGCGAGTGTTTTATCTCTGCACCATCAGGACTGTAGTTAGTACAAAGGTTTGATAAGGTAGAAACTATACTATACAGGAAGTAGCCAAACACAACAAATGATTCTTGTTTGTTTGTGTTCCTGGTATGTTTGAGGGTTAGACTTCTTACACTATAGTCTTTTTTTTTTTTTTTTTTGTCTCGTTCTCTGGCCCTTTCACACTATGTTAAACTACTCCTGCATTCTAGTTCTGCACCACTGTTGTCTTGGGATAAATTTTGTCGTACCTTCATATACAGTATCTCAAAATTTGGCATACATCTCATTTATTTTTTTGCCTAACAACAAATCTTTCCAATTCAAAAAACTTGCAAAGTTCCCCATATTGTCCTCACTTGAAATCAAGTTTTCCAGTTGTTTCATTTCCCCATTCTCTTCTAGGTTATAATACATTGCATATTTTATTTACAGAAGGACATGGGTGCTTTTACAAATAAGGGGGTAAAGATAATGTCAAATACCTCCTCTTTCATGGTGAATATCAAATCCAGCATGATGGAATATCCCCTTCCCTCATTCTTGTGTAGGAATATGAATGTTTCCAGGATAAGGTTTATGTGACTGCCAGTCCAAATGTCCTTTGTTTTTTCTTCGTGTGTCTCCCACTGTATTGAATTTAAGTTGAAGTTGCCACATACCAACAATTGTGATTTACCTTTACTGTACCTGCTCTTACTGTAATGACTCGTTACCATTATGAGGCCTTCTCATTTGTCATCCAGCTGCTCCTCTGTTCACATGTTGCTTGCTGGTGGACTGAAGGCATTAAAGATTACCAGTTAATCATGCTAAACCAAATCTAACATGCCACTATGTCAACTTCTTGTGGGTTGTCAACTATTAAGTCTCTTACCTCCAGGCATTTTTTCACCAGCATGGCAACTCCTCCATCTTTTCTAATTTTTCTGTCCCGTCTCCAAACTGAGTAGCCCCTCGGGAATACGACATCATTTAAAATATTATCTTCAAGTTTTGTCTCTGTCAGTGTTAAATCTTTGGCATTTTAAGCTACATTATATCATTTAACTTCAGTATTTTTCATCTCACTCCATATAGATTTTCAAAAACATGTTCCCACTCTGTCTGTTTTTCACTCCCCTTCTATTTATTTTCCTAGATTGCTTTTATGTCCCATTTCACAGGTTCCCAATACCTGTCACCTTTTAGAAAAAAAAAGGATTTATTCTGTTCTCATTCCTACCTTTATTTAGACATTTTGCTTCGGCAAGCTTGAGTTTTAACTTCTCCCTGTCATCTTTTGAAATGTCATGTCTTAATGACCACCATTTCCCAACCACATTTTGCAATTTCCTGGCATTCCTCAGCACTCATTTGTTTCAATATTATTCGATACTTACCTATCCTTCTAAAATCATTGAGAATTTCCTTTGTTGCGAGACCTTCTCATCCACCTATTTTCTCTATTTTTTTCCCTTCTGCTGCTCTGTATACCCTATCTTGAGGTTATCTTGAGGTTATCTTGAGATGATTTCGGGGCTTTCTAGTGTCCCCGCGGCGCCCGGTCCTCGACCAGGCCTCCACCCCCAGGAAGCAGCCCATGACAGCTGACTAGCACCCAGATACCTATTTTACTGCTAGGTAACAGGGATGGTTACCCTAGATGGTATTTCCTTTTCCAAACACCCACAAATTTTTGCAGACTTACTTCTGTCTACAGTGTTTTGTTTTAATTTACTGCTTGTAACCCGTTCTTTTTAATTGTTTGCTTAATATTTGATCCTTGCTGCTCATCTCTATTTTTTCCCTTCAAAACATACTTCTTTGATAGTTTCTTCCTCTTTTACAACTCGTACATATGTTCCTTTCATATTCTCTTTGTAATTTTCCAATCATTGGTAACTTCCTCTACTTGAGCTGTCCATGGAATTTCAATTATGATGTCCTTAACTCCCTATTATTGTTAGCCAATAAGGGTTCTCCAAGTTCCTTTGCAATATATTTTCTTGTTAATTTCTTCAAAATTTTCTCCCTTCCCTTCAATTTCCATATTTAATTTTTTCATTAGTTCTTTGATTTGTATCTCCTGTCTCCACCTTGTCAGTCAAGCTAGTAATTTCTTCTTTCTAATAGAAGAACATTACCTTCATGAATCTTTATCAAATCCCCAATTTTCACTAACCAGTTCATAAAACCTCCATTTCTTATCTCTTTATCAGTTAACCCTTTTAAATTTGTCTCTAGTTGACAGTTTAATATCCACGTTAGCCATTTTGTTTATTTTGATTCTCAACTGCTTCAGTGTGGTAGATTTACCTTTTCCAGTTTATTGATGTGGCTGGTAATATTTTACTATCCAGTAGACTTTTATCACTGTATTGGTATCAGCATACTTTTGTAGTACTATGCATGTGGTGTCAAAATTTCTGCTGATGCTTCAAAACTTTGTTTTTCTCATAGGTGGATACATAAGATCACTCCTAATTCCTATTAGAAGGCTTTAGAGTTCTTCCTCTTTTGATCTGTCAATTGGCTTACAACAAGATCCTCAATTACTGCTGGGTAAACATTGGTCACTGATCCTTACTGTCCACCCATCATCTCTCCCTTCTCAGAGGGATGAGTTAAGAGGAAAGACAAAAGGAATTAACCCTCATGTGAATGGGAGATAGAAGAGTTAGGAACTGACAGGACAGACAATGACATTATTTGAAATGGTTAATAAAAGAACTTAAGGACATACAGGTACAGGCATACCTCAGAATAAGAGTTTAATCCGTTCCTGGAGACGCCTCGCCTTCCGAAAACTCGCATTCCGAAGTTAATTTCCCCATAAGAAATAAAGGGAAATGAATTAATCCGTTCCTGACTACCCCAAAAACCCCACATCAAACTAAATTTTTATACCTAATTTACCTAATTCATCTAAATAAACCTACAAAACTGTGTTCCAGTTATTACTTACCTTGCTGTCGTGTGCTGTAGGCGTATGGAAGATGGTGAGGAGGGGGGAGGAGGAGAGGAGTTACTGTTTGGAAGGGGAGTCCCCTTCCATAATCACATCACATAACCCCATGCCTTGTAACACTATGGATACCACTTCTCTTTCTAAATTTTTCAAACCAGCCCCTGCTTGCCTTAAACTCTTTCTTATCTGCATCACTCGTTGCAGGGGTATTCTTTAGAAGGTCTTCGTGCAACACCCTGGCTTTCTCACAAATAATGGCCTCCGAAACACTATCACCCCTCAACTCCTTGTCGTGTATCCAAATTAATAACTTTTCCACTTCAAGTATTTGTGGTCTTTGTGCCGTTAATGTTCTTACTCCTTTTGCCACTTTAGCACCCATAATCTTATTTTTCTTCTTAAGTATAGTGCATATTGTTGATGTGGCTTTGTTGTACTGCCTACAAAGTTCAACAACACGTGTACCGTTCTCATGCTTCCGAATGATCTCTTGTTTCTCCTCTATTGTCATCCTCACATGAGCTTTCTGGCCTTTATCCTTACCACTGGCTTTCTTGGGACCCATGGTGAGATATATAATAAATTGTATAGACAAATCACCAAAAATCCAACAAAACACTGAAAATCCGCGAGAAGAATTGATGTGGGGGTAGTCACTGAGCGCGAGACAATAATAAACTGAGGGGCGGCGGGGCGGAGGGAGCGGCGGGGCGGCGGAGCTGTACGCGTATCAACAAACTCGTGTCCAAACTCGCCTCCCGAAGTAACCCTCGCCTTCTGAGACAAATTTTTGGAGTAAATACACCTCGCCTTCCGAAAACCTCGCATACAGGGGACAATCGCATTCCGAGGTACCACTGTAGATGGAAACTTAGTAGATATACAAGCCTCAGAAATATTAGAGATTTTTTTCTGCATCAGAGTGCAAGAAGCAGCACGACCCCACCATGTGGTGTTCACGTTACTCAAACGAGCGTTCGCCATGCAGGACGATTTGACGCCGAACGGGCCGGTCGTTATCCAAAATGTTCGCCTTTTGGGGCGATCGGTATGCGAGGTACCACTGTATTAATTAGTAAAACTATTATTTCCATTGAGAGTGAATTACTTTTAATTATATGAAAGTTTAAGAATAAAGATAATTATCATTATTTATGGCAATGTGAAAAGGTAAATTCACATAAATATACTGACAAGTCAAAGGAAGTTTAGCTCTTGGCAAATGCTTAAATGGCTTTTAAAACTGTTAAATTACAAGTTTATCTCTACAGTGGAGATTACAAAATGATCTGTATAAAAAGTTCTTAATTAAAAAAAATGATTTATCCCAGAAAAACACAAAATGATCATCCATATAGAGAAAAAATATTGTACTGCACATTTAATATTATCACCAAATACTACTACAATGGCACTATGCCTCCACTTCAATACTACAATATCATCACAATAATATTAAAAATCCACTGTCTAAATATTATTAATACTAATAAATATAACTATTGAGCAAAATTGAATAAGAGTGTGGGAATAGAGCACAGGAATGGTTATACATGACAAATTAATCCCATGTGAATAATCAACAATGGGACCTTACATTCCCTATATACACCTACTCAAATGCCTACACTAATAAATCCTACACACATGAGAACACACATGCCGCCTCCCAGGCAGGTCTCTGGTTTTTACTTATCTGTGGGTAGTCAGCTTCAGGGAGCCGACGGGGCTTCAAAAAACCAAGTTTGAATGTATTGAAATGCAATTTTTTGGGTAAGCCCCATTGGCTCCCTGAAGTTATCAAACTGACGTATACCATATTAGTTTGGTACCATCTGTCCTTGGAGTTCAAATACTTACTGGGGTCCATGAGCCAGAACCTGCCCCCCCCTTCCTCAGAGAGGCAAAGGGAGCAATGGCAATATGAACTCTGTATGTAAAGTTTGTCATGTCTGCCATCGAACGGGGAAGGCACCCCAGAAAGGTAAGTGAACCATTACAAACCTCTAATTGGTTAAAATTTCAACCTACATCCGAACAGAGGCCTAGAACTCCCCCTAATAGAAAACATGGAAACAATCAACACGTCATCCAACTAGTGTGCCCGCTCATTAGCGCCTCACCCTCCCCGACAGGGGAAAGTGGGGACCCCGACAGGGGAAAGTGGGGACCCCGACAGGGGGAAGTGGGGACCCTGACAGGGGAAAGTGGGAGACCCCATTCAGGTGGGTAGGTCTCACCACCCTCCGTTCGGAAAATGATGAAACCGCCGACCAGAGGGAGGGAGAGTGTCTAGGAGCCTCCATGGCTCACCCAGAAAATGGTGTTTCTTTACATTCAACTCTGGTTTTCCAAGGGGCTCCCTCAAGCCTCGTCCCCCCCCAGCCAAAAGACGAGGCATCTGTGAACACACCGAGTTAGGGAAGAGGAAGGCACCAAGGCACCAACCCCGAAAAACCCGAAGACGCAGCAACCGACGCGAAGACCCCGAAGGTCGAACCCTGCGATTGCAAGAGCAGGGAAAGGGGTTGCCCCTGAAGATATCAGAACAGACTCCAAAGACAGACCCTGCTCAGCGGGAAAACCAGTAAGTTAAAGTTCAGGCTATCGCACAGCTGCTTGAGCAACTGCCGAGTGACCCAGGTCCCCCCTCAAAAATCGCAGACAACGGGACTGTAGCCGGAGCAAAGCCACAGGAGGAAGAGAGATGGACACAGTCCGAGAATCCCACACAAGGCCCAGCCAAGTCAGAGCCTGAGATGGAACCAGATGGGACTTCCTCCAATTCACCAGGAACCCAAATCCAGCAAGCTGGGAAAGAACCATGTCCTGGCAAGCAGACATGCAGACTGGCAGGGAGCCCAAACCAACCAGCTGTTGAGGTAGGCCAGACATTAGTAGATGAAGGCGGGCCACCACGACCCGGGTTAAACGTGTGAACACACGAGGTGCCAGTTTAAGCCGAATGGAAGACAATGAAAATGGTAAGCCCGACGCCCAACCACGAAACCTAGCCAATCCCTGAACCCCAGATGAATCCTTCCTCCTTCCCCCGTCCACACCGTTTTCCATACACCAACAAGAGTCCTCAATAAAGGTAAGGTGTATTAAAAAATATGAGTAGTATTCTGTATAAAATGTATTTTTAAGTTAATATTTTTAGGTGTGTGGGATGGATTAATTCAATTTACATTACTTCTTATGGGAAAATTTGTTTTGGTTTTCAAATTTTCGGTTGACGAACCGTCTCTGGGAACGGATTAAATTCGTAAATGAAGGTACCACAGTATTTTGATTGGTGGTTCACCTTGATAGATAATTTCTCATCATCTTATCCTAATTGCCTCCTTTGCCCCTTGGAGTGAATAAGATAGTTGTGAAAAGGTTCTTGTCTCTTGAAAGTAGTCACAGGAACCTGGCATCACTGGTATTAAGAACCAGCTGTGTAACAAAAGTATGAGACAGTTCTAGGATGACAAAAACTTTTATTATTGACTCTCTAAACCGTGTTTTTTATCACAATTAGTTGAGCTGAGCTCACCTTCCAATGTTGATAACATGAAACCCATCAACATCCTTCCTTGGAATGACAGAGTTGCACACCACTTTCTCTTCCATGTGGTCTGGTAGTGGAAGCTGGAAAGTTGAAATGTCTTTGAAGTGGAATTTTAAACAATGACTAGAATATAGCAATATAGGCCATGGAGCAAGTATCTATATCAAGCTTGCCTGACAAATCTCTAGCCTCCTAGGTATTAAAGAAAATAAGCCTATGGGAGCAGCACAATGATTTACTCAGAAATTTATCAAAAAGGGTCAATAAATAACTAACCACCCACATTCCAGTTTTCTGTAATAGCACATTTGTGTACTGTTTCTTACCTGCACTAGAATACCATCAACATCTGAGTCTACATTGAGCTGATTTATTAGATGCAGTAGAGTAGACTGGCTGGTGTCTTGTGGTAAGTGGTGAACAGTACTCTGAATCCCTGAAACAAGCACAGAAATGGAAGTTAACCAAAGGCATCGGACAATATGCATTTGATTCTTAGTTAGCTAAATACGCCATAGAAAATTTCCTTTGGATCCATACAGTATTTGGATATTTAAAAATTAATGTCTAAGAAATGCTTAAATATTATTTATGGATTAACCCACTGACTGATAACTACCAATTATTTTCATATTTATACTGTGCTTCATTGCTATATTTAATTAAATAAATTATATACACTTAAAATACTGTACTGTACTGTAATGATATTTTACTTATATAAGGTACACTTATAGAAGCTATATATGGTCAACAAAATTCAAAATTTCTAAGAAACTAAATATTTTTCGTAGGGCATTATGAAATAGTGGTGTGGCATAGTGGTAAATGCAATCGTATCACACCTGTTGAAGTACCATGCACCCATCCATCTGTACCGCCAGCCAGGACACTGGACACTCCATGAATGTGAACAGCAGAGTGCGCCAAACCCCGAGAAATCAGAAGATGAAGTAGATGTAGAGTCCAGCTCCTGGTTCTAGCAGACAGGGACTGAAGAGAACCCCTCCGTTGAAATAAACTATGGTGAGCAGTCCGAATGGAGGTGGACTATGGATCCAAGCCCTCCACAGCACAGGACATATGGCTGCCAACTCTTGCATAGTTTGTACTGTGAGCCCAACGAAGGTGATGGAATCATGGCCCCCTAACCAGCTTGGTGAGGGCTGGTCACAAAGCACCTGGAAAGATGTCGAACAAGGGTAGAGGAAAGTGGCAGGGAACCAAACCCCAAAACATCCAAAGTGGAACCCGGCTACACAGAAGCCGACAAAGGGCTCCTGGAATCTGCACTCAACGAACGCAGTCGTGGCGAAGAGCCAGCTCCTGAGAAACCAAAATAGCTTCCGAAGCCAAACCCTGCTCAAGGAAATGAGGACGACAAAGGTGAGGTTCCTACACAGCTGCTCTAGCACCTGTCAGGCCACCCAGTCCCCACTCAACACCAACAGATGGCAGTGCTGCAGCTGGATCAAGGCCACCGAAGGTAGGGACAGCAAAGCTGACTTAGTCACCCAAGTGAGGCACAGCCAAGTCTCTCCAACTCTCTCACTATCCCACACTTACCCATCCATCCGACTCTTGCTACCCCTTCCATCCGACTCTCAAACCCTATCTAATGGAAAAGGGGCACTTGAAAATCATTACTGAACAAAATGTGACACTCATTGACACCAACCAGAAATCTGAACTAGTAATATATTATAAGAGCAAGAAGCCTGCCAACTTGCTCATGAGGAGCTTTCTACAGCTCATTTTAAATGGAACATCTCCATGCTCCCTAATACCAATATGACTCTGTGGGACTTTTGAAAAGCATCCAATGGTACTGGTAGTTCAAATATTGTCCTGCATGGCTGGGATTCACTTCTCAGTCAGGAAAAATCTTACTTTTTGGACAATGTAGTAGAACAGCACAAAAATATTTCATGCTTTTTATTGTACTGTACTGTAAAAGTACTGTACTGTACTTTTTTTGTACAGTACTCAATATAGTACTGTACTTATTAACAGTTTTTTATTAAAATGTATTTCAAAGCACTAAAAAAAATTATTCTATATTAACCAATCTTATCTGCAGCTCTTGCTTTATTTCTGACATACGTGCCAGATGCTGGGTCACGTCCCACCCGAACAAGCACCAGGTGAGGTGTTCGCTCTCCACGTTCAACCATGCTTCGAACCTCTGCCCAAAGTTCTTCATAAATTTCAGCTGCTACCTTCTTTCCATCTATCAGCTTTGCTCTTTGTCTGTGGACATGTTAGAAAACTGCATTAATATCATTCCTGTCTATAAATCACAAATTTTGGTAAAAGGCTTGAAATACAATGCAGTACTGGTATATTTAACAACAGAATCTCTTCTCGAGGTTATCTTGAGATGATTTCGGGGCTTTTTAGTGTCCCCACGGCCCGGTCCTCGACCAGGCCTCCACCCCCAGGAAGCAGCCCGTGACAGCTGACTAACACCCAGGTACCTATTTTACTGCTAGGTAACAGGGGCATAGGGTGAAAGAAACTGCCCATTGTTTCTCGCCAGCGCCTGGGATCGAACCCAGGATCACAAGTACAGCGTGCTGTCCGCTCGGCCGACCGGCTCCCCAAATGCAAATGCAAATCATGCAAGAACATGCAAATCAAATTAATGTATAAGCACATTTAGTTTCATATTATTGAGATAGTAGCTAAAGTGGGGATTTAAAAATACTCTTACAAAAGGGTGTTATGTCAATCCACCTAAAGACCAGTGCTAGTGTTTTCCGGAAACTTGGATGTGAACCAAAACTCATTTCTGTTATTATTTTGTAAGTGATGATCATATCACCTCTTTTCCTTCTATTTTCTAGCTTTGGCATATTTAACACCTCTAGCCTCTCTTCGTAATTCTTGTTTTTCAGTTCCGAAAGCCATTTTGTAGCATGTCTTTGCACCTTTTCCAGTTTATTGATGTGCTTCTTGAGATATGGGCACCATACAACTACTGCACATTCCAATTTTGGTCTCTCAAACGTCATGAACAGTTTCTTTAGTACTTCACCATCCATGAAGTTAAAAGCGAGTCTGAAGTTGGAAAGCATCTCATCTGCTCCTTGCTCAAGGTTTTTTTTGTTTTTCCCTGGTGACAGTTTACTATCCAAAACCACCCCTAGTGGTTGTATAATGTGTGGAAAAAGGCTAACATAGTTCCAATCTACAAAAGTGGCAGCAGGGAAGACCCCCTGAATTATAAACCTGTATCATTGACAAGTGTAATAGTCAAAATATTGGAAAAAATCATTAAAACTAAATGGGTAGAACACCTGGAGAAAAACAATATATCACAGTCAGTATGGTTTTCGATCTGGAAGATCCTGTGTAACGAATTTACTCAGTTTCTATGATCAAGCCACAGAGATTTTACAGGAAAAAGATGGTTTGTTTGACTACATATATCTGGACCTAAAAAAAGGATTTCGACAGAGTTCCACACAAGAGGTTGTTCTGGAAACTGGAACATATTAGAGGGGTGACAGGTAAGCTTCTAACATGGATGAAACATTTTCTAACTGATAAAAAATTAGGGCAATATTCAGAAGCAATGTATCGGACTGGAGAAATGTCACAAGTACCACAGGGTTCAGCCTTGCTCCAGTAATGTTTATTGTCTACATAAACAATCTACCAGATGGAATACAGAATTATATGGGCATGTTTCAAATTCAAATGTTTATTCGGGTAAAAGTATATACGGTGGGGCCTCCACTTACGATGGTAATCCGTTCCCAGAGACGTATTGTAAGTCAAAATATCCTAAGTTGAAACTAATTTTCCCATAAGAAATAATGGGAATTGAATTAATCCGTTCCACATTCCCCCCATAAAAAAAAACTTTGAAAAACCTTAAAGTAAATTTATATGTAATTTACCCCAAATCTTTAGTACTAAAGTATGTACAAGTTATTGCTTACCTTTATTGGCAACTTGTTGGTGTATGGAAGACTATGAGGAGGAGAAGAGGTGTTAGTGTTTGGAAGGAGAGTCCTCTTCCATTATAACATCAGGCAGTGATTGTTTTTCTTTTTACAATTTTTTTTATTTTTTTCATTTTTTAAATATTTTTTTATAGAAAATGGAGCAGCCTACCTGACATTCACTTAAACCTGACCTTAAAAGCTTCCTAGAAGGTTGTAACAGAACCCATGAGCACCACACCAGAAACAAATACCTATTTGATATGCCAAGAGTTAGACTTAATCAAACTAGGAATGCTTTACAAATCAAGGGACCCAGAATGTGGAATGACCTTCCCAATTATGTCAAAGATTGTACCTCTCTCAACCAGTTTAGGATGAAAACTAAGTACTACCTAATTAACTCCATGTAACCTACCTTACTTCTAAATGTCAACCCATGTCTTACTATTTAAAAAAAAAAAATATGCTGTTTGTTGACCAACTCGTATATTAGCTATTTTCTACCATGTTCCCCCTTTTTTGATCCTTTATTTTTTTTCATTCAACACAATTTATACTTTAAGTTCAATTACTATTAAGATTTAGTCTGTTTTTTTCCCCACCTCACCTTGCCAGAAACACTATACGTACTAGTGGCTTTAGGTATTGTATGTACTACCTCTATCTTTAAATCTAACAATGTTTGTACTGTAACGCTGCAACTATGTATGTACTTACGGGCTCACCATAGCCCGTGCTACTAGGAACTTTTGATTCCAAGTAGCGAATCTTAAACAACAACAAATGTATGTACTGTTCCTAAATAAATTATTATTAGTATTATATGACTAACCTGCAATTTGTTACCTGAAGGTGTCGTCTCCCTCCTAATGAAGAGGTCATTGACCCCCATTTTATTAGAGGGACAGCCCGTCTTCCCAGCATAGTGTGCGAGCGAGCAAGCATGCAAGACTGCGTGTACTCTGCTCAGGAGGGTCCAGATTTAGCCTGATATCTTGCGTGTACTCTGCTCAGGAGGGTCCAGATTTAGCCTGATATCTTGACCTGCATATAGCTTGGTATAGTGTTGTTGGTAACATAACCCAGTCAGCTGGCCACTGCACTCCTCTCCGCTCATTGGCTGCCCACCTTACACCATCAACCAATCACTGTTCTTCATTCGTGATGTCACTGAAACGTAACATATTTGTTCATATTTTAGAAACACTCGTATAGTTACCGTCGTGAGAGTTTGCAGCATATCAATTGATGATGAAATTTTGTAAATTACACGAAGTTAACTTTAACGTTAAACTTGCAAAAGTTGATGAATGAAATGGTAATGAGACCCCGTATCACGGAAAGGATCATGTAAACAATAACAATGACTACGAATATAATTAAGAAGACTTAAATTTTACACACTTTAGTATTAATAGAAATAGAGCTGAAAAGATTGTCGCTATGTAAAAAAAATATATAACTTGGATCATATAATTAAAATTATATTACGATAAAGTCGGTAGTGTATGGAATCTGAAGTACGAAGCGAAGCTAGTCTAAGTCAGAGACGGTGGTCGGAACTCGGGCCAGCTGAGAGATTATTATTTTTCTTTGGACATCTCCCGGACCCGGTTAGCATCGACAATGAAATAGGTGATTAATTTATTGTTGTTACATCATGTATTAAACCCTGAAGCATAGATCCAATATATTTACAAATATGGCCTAAAGCTGATGGCTCTAAGCATAACTGTTAAGATAGTACTCTAATTTAAAACTTAGCTGGATTACATCCTCAGGAATAATGGGGGTCATTAATATGCTACCGGCTTCCAGTGCCGGTCGAGGCCACTAAAGATATCGGCCCCCAACGCATTAGGCTTCAAAACCACAAAAAGTACCAGGTAGCACTACAATATGACTATAGCACTATATAGCCCAGCTGGTAGCACTGTATTGTAGCGGTCCGTCTAATTACCACAAGCTACCACAAGCTACACAAGCTTCACAAAGCTTCCTGGCAATACGTTAGTAATGAATAAATATGATATATTTACTCATTATAATGTTGGTACTGAATGTACAACACAAAAAAACATAATTTTATTCTGAAAAAGTATCTTTATAAAGAAATTAGACGAAAATAAAGAGCTGGTGACGCCAAATCAAGTCGACGATCCAAGCGTCGGTTAGGTTAGGTTAGGTTTGGTTTGGTTTGGTTTGGTTAAGTTAGGTTAGATTAGGTTAGGTTAGGTCAGCCTAACCTAACATATCATATTTATTCATTACTAACGTGTTGCCAGGAAGCTTTGTGAAGCTTGTGTAGCTTGTGGTATCTTGTGGTAATTAGACGGACCTGTATTGTAGTGCTACCAGCTGGGACTTTTTGTGGTTTTGAAGCCTAATGCGTTTAGTTAGTTTTTGCTATAATAACTTGTGCAGTTCAGCAAACTATAGTTCATAGCTTAGTGTCCATAATGAAAATTTGGCACCAACATATTCCATAGCCACAAGTCATGAAAACAAGGCTTGTCAACAAGGCTTGTCATGAAAACAAGGTTTGTGTTGTTGCCAGGTTAAACAAGAAATAAGAAAAAACTATCAAAGCTTAAATATGCAATTCTCAATCATAAAGGATTTTTTCAGTCATATAAAATGAATGTAGTGGAAAGGGCAGGATCGCTGAAAATAATCTTCAATCATCTGTTCGGTTTAGACTCGGTTACAAGTATCTCTGGGAATTTTCATTATCTGCTGATGTAGACCTGACCACATGTAAACTGTGTTAACACAATTATTCGTATTCGCACACTCGGCATTAAATATGCCAAAACTAGAAGACAGAAGAAAAAGAGGTGATATGATCACTACATACAAAATAGTAACAGGAATTGATAAAATCGATAGGGAAGATTTCCTGAGACCTGGAACTTTAAGAACAAGAGGTCATAGATATAAACTAGCTAAACACAGATGCCGAAGAAATATAAGAAAATTCACTTTCGCAAACAGAGTGGTAGACGGTTGGAACAAGTTAGGGGAGAAGGTGGTGGAGGCCAAGACCGTCAGTAGTTTCAAAGCATTATATGACAAAGAGTGCTGGGAAGACGGGACACCACGAGCGTAGCTCTCATCCTGTAACTACACTTAGGTAATTACACTTGGGTAATTACTCTCCATCACTATGTGATTGAATGCGAAAAGATATGTGAATTCATAGACAATTCTATAACAAATGTTCAAGAGATGTGTAAATATTTCATTCAAAATGATCTGCTACCAGAAGTCTTGGCCAAATATCCCCAGTTTGCGAACTGTAGGTGGTATCTGAGTGATTGTAATCTATCTACCACTGCCCACTGGATGAGGGACGGTGTGCAGGACAAACATATAAATTGTGTCACTAGCTCTTCACATATGTCAGTTGCTTAAATTAGACTGTATATGTGGTCGATCTCAAACCCATTATTGATGTGATGATGTGCATTGAATTTTGTAACAAGCATATCAAGATTGTAACTTGCTCAACTAAATAAATTGTGGGGTTCAGTCCCTAAGCCCATTATGTTCCTCTGTAACACTTTCCAATACCACCCACAAGATAGGCATGGGGTGCATAATAAATGAACTAAACTAACATCTAATAGATGGGAAGGGTTTGTTGAATTAGCCAAAAGCCTCCTAACATCAAGTAAGTAATGAAGAAATATGACATTTACCCACCATAATGTTCAACCTGTCATTAAGGAGAAAATCCCTTGGAGGTAATGACTTCCACGGCATAATTAGTGCTATTATCTAAGTGCTAAGTAATGAAAATTTAGCACTTTTTGTGCTACCCATTTCTCCATGGGTAGTGTCCTTCAGGAAGCCACATGGGGCTCCCCCCAGAAAACTAGTAATTACCTAATTGTATTTAGCTAATTGTAGTTACAGGATGAGAGCTATGCACGTAGTGTCCCATCTTCCCAGCATTCTTTATCATATAATGCTTTGAAACTACAAATGATTTTGGCCTCCACCTCATTTAACTTGTACCAACTGTCTACCACTGTCTGTGAAAGTGAATTTTCTTATATTTCTTTGGCAGCTTTGTTTAGTTGGCTTAAGTCTATGATCTCTTGTACTTGAAGTTCCAGGTCTCGGGAATTCTTCCTTATCAATTTTGTCGATTCCTATTATTATTTTGTATTCAATGATCATATCGCCTCTTTTTCTTCTATCTTCTAGTTTGGCATATTTAATGCATCTAACCTGTCCTTGTAGTTCTTGTCTTTCAGGTCCAGAATCCATTTACAGTGGCCCCTCTATTTACGAATTTAATCTGTTCCCAGAGACAAAAAATTCGCAATCCGAAACAAATTTTCCCATAATAAATAATGTAAATTGAATTAATCCGCTCCACACTTTCAAAAATATTAACTTCAAAATAGATTTCATACCTAATTCACACAAATATTTAGTACAGTACAATCTCGATTTAACGTACCCCGATTTAACGAATCTCTGGCTAGTTTGCACACATTTCAGGCCGGATTTACTCACCCGGTTCGACGAACAATGGTTAGCCGAAGCGAGGGATGTTTGGATTTGCTTATGATGTCGAGACAGAGTTCACAGACTGGTGGAAAACTTTCCCATTATATCAAAGATTACAGTTTATAATTCCCTCATATGACAAGTTCGATCACACAAGTGGACCACACAAGTGGACCGCACAAGTGGTCCACAAGTGGTCCACAAGCTTATGATGTTGGGACAGAGTTCACAGAGTGGTGGAAATTTTTCCCATTCCATCACAGGTTACATTTAATAATTCCTTCATATGACAAGTTGGACTACACAAATGGACCACACAAGTGGACCACAAGTGCTCCAAAGGCTTACGATATTGGGACAGAGTTCACAGAGTGGTGGAAAACTTTCTCATTCTATCACAAATTACAATTAATAATTCCTTCATAAGACAAGTTGGATCACACAAGTGGACCACACAACAAGTGAAGCATATTAACCAAACACCGACTGGCTCCCCCAAGTTAAGTGAGGCGTCACAGGCAAGCCAAGTGAGGGGCGTCACAGGCAAGCCAAGTGAGGCAGCACAGCAAGGCAAGTGAAGCATCACAGGCAAGCCAATTGAGGCATCACAGGCAAGCCAAGTGAGGCATCATGGGCAAGCCAAGTGAGGTGTCACAGGCAAGCCAAGTCAGGTGTCACAGGCAAGCCAAGTGCCTTCAACCAGTGAGGCTTCAGCAGCTGGCAGTGAAAACTAACTTTGCTTAATGAACTGTACAGTAATTTTAAAGTGGTAATTTTAGTGTTGTGTTAGTATAGGTTACGTAAATTGTCAAGAATTCTTTACTTCAAGATGTGTAGCATCAATCAAGAAGACGAACAACACCAAGGTAAGTTGATGTTTCTAGTTGAATATTTAATAATTATATGTGGCAAGGCAATTCAAATTATGTTGTTTGTAGTATAAAAATAGTTGGAAATGGTCACTTTTGGACTCAGAGGGGAAAAGTACCATTATCTGGAACACGTGATTATCCGGCTGGGGGTCCTTCCCATATAGTCCGGATAATCGAGTGGAGACTACTCAATATTTCATATTCTATTATAGTTTATCCTATTCTTTCTAGATAAATTTAAACTTATTTTATCTATTATGTTTTCATAATGCTTAATTAAATTATTGTTTTCATTCCTCAGACTCTTCAGTGAAACATTTTCAAGAAATCAGACATTTCCTTATCTGTAACTTCACTAGTGATAAAATGCACAGCAAAATTATTGAACAAATGACCTTTAATAAGATACTACAGATGGAAAGCCTTCCTTGGTTTAGATACCAAGCTATGCGACCGCTTTCCAGTAATGCCAGGTATGAACTCTCATGTTGTAGCTACAGGCTATAAGGTCCCAGGTTTGATTCCCCACGACATGACAAAAGCATTTGGGGAATGCTTCACTTCACCTTAGAATACTGTAAAGAGGTATCCCGGGAGTTAGGCAAATGTTGTGGGTTCCATTCTGGGAGAGGCCTTGGGAAATCTTGACAAGTGTAACAGGTCTTGTATTTCCAATTAAGGAAAACCATAAGGTGCACGATATATGTATGGTTCCCATACTGTGGGGGGGGGGGCAGGAAGCCTATTAGGTTGATTGAGGTCCCTCCTAGGCCAACTACTATACAGGCATACCTCAGTTTAAGAGTTTAATTGGTTCCTGGAGACGCCTCGTATTCCGAAAACTCGCATTCCGAAGCTAATTTCCCCATAAGAAATAAAGGGAAATGAATTAATCCGTTCCTGACTACCCCAAAAACCCCACATCAAACTAAATTTTTATACCTAATTCATCTAAATAAACCTACAAAACTATGTTCAAGTTATTACTTACCTTGCTGTTGAATGCTGTAGGCGTATGGAAGATGGTGAGGAGGTGGGAGGAAGAGAGGAGTTACTGTTTGGAAGGGGAGTCCCCTTCCATTATCACATCAGGCAGTGAGGACTTCACTGGTATGCACACTCTGGCACATTTTGCCTGCATACCACTAGGACTTGCTTGTTTTACTAAGAATTTGTCTAATGACACTTGTTTTTCCCTACATTTTAACACTTGTCTGTAGTAAGACATCACATTATCATTTAAAAGGTCAATGCAACGGCCTGCTACAGCTTTATCTGGGTGAGTTTTTTCAACAAAACTTTGCAGTTCTTCCCATACTTCACACATTTTCTTAATCAAGAAGGAACATCCTCTACTGCCTCTACTCACAGCTATTTTCTTAGGTTGAACCTTACCAATGGCTTTCTTGAGACCCATGGCAAGATATATAATGACAACTTTTATGCTCAAATGGCCAAAAAACCGATAAAAAACTGTAAATCCTTGTGAAGAATTCAGGTGGGATAGTCACTGGACACGAGACACTGGTAAACTGAGGCGCGATCGCCATGCCACCACGCGCCAGTCGGCCTGTACACGTATCAACAAACTCGCGTCCCGAGGTAACCCTCGCCTTCCGAGACATATTTTTGGAGTAAATCCTGCTCGTCTTCCGAAAAACTCGCATACAGGGACACTCGCATTCCGAGGTACCACTGTACTAACCTTCACCAGGATGCAATCCACCATAGCTGTCTAACTCTCTGGTCCCTACTTACTGCTAATGTTGCAATTAGTGAATCGTTAAGCCTGGCTGTCAGCCCATTGATTCATTTCTTTCATATTCTCCCCATTTTATCCTTAGACAGTGGCTATGGAGAAATGGTCATACTCACCTATGCACAACAAATAAAAAAAAATTAATACAAACTTTCATTATAGTATTATTAATTTGTATGCAAAAACACAAAAATAAGTCAATATTTTTCATTTCACTGGGTGAAGGTACTCTGCAAGGCTGTGTCTTGCACTTGTCAATGCCTGCTGCTCGACATTGCTAATGCTTCCTGTTTTATCCTTGGATGTTTCACTGATTGTTTTATGACTTGTTTTTCTTTATTTACATCCACAGAGAGCTATTATATCCATATTTGTATCATACATGTTAACCCTTGTGTTGCTAAGGGCTATTTGGCCATTGTCATCCTCAGCCGCATAACAAAAAAAAAAAAATTCTAAACCTGTTAATATCTGTTCCCTGATCACAGAAAAAAATAATAAGAACTCGTAAGTGGCATATTTTATCCGCTATAGGGCGGGGAAGTTTGGCAAAAAAGAGGCGCTGACTCAGCGTGCATCCGAGGCGGTCTGCTCAACCCCAGCTGTCAGGCAGGAGTGGTCACAAAGAGATAATTACCTAATTATTTCAATGACTGATTTTTCTTCATTTCTTTGCTGTAATATTATTCAATAGTGTGTAGTGTGATATATTTATATAATGTGTGAATCATCGCTGTACTCAAAATTATGGTGTGCATATTATTGATTCAATTATTGTGTTCATAAAACAATAAACAAATTCTTTGTCGGTTATTATACTATATACAGAGGTTATATTTACGTATCTGCATGTTTTGTTCACCATAACAAACCACTAAGTTGATATTGCAAGTCAAAAAATAGCGAGGTGTGGCCACCAGATCTGCCAGTCAGCCTCTCACTGCCAGTCCCTCCCTCAATGACTCCTCACTCGCCCACATCCTCACAGTATGGACCTTTCTTGTGGGGGTTAGGGTGTGTCTTGGGAGGGCACATAAGGTGTTGGTCAACTCAACCTCCAGGTGACTTGGGCACCAACTTGGGATTTGGTGTGTACTGACACAATAATTGTTTACCATTTGTAAACTACTTCCTATGGGGAGCCCCTTCGGCTCCCTGGAGCTATGGGCTAATGTGTGATATATTAGCCTAGGGCATTAGTCAATGGGGTTCAGCCTACCGGGGACCACGAGCCAGAACCTGGCCCACTCAGAGAGGCACAGGGAGCAATGGCCTGTGGAAACCCCCTTGTGGTTGGGGGCATTCTTTATCTGCCATTGAGCGGGGTTAGGCACCCAGAAAGGTAGGCATAACAAAACACACCCCACTTGGTAAGAAAATTGCAACTAATTTTGTGGTCGTGCTGGGACTTTGCTCCATTCAGCTCCATTCGGACTGTTCTCTGGCGGTTCTTTGACGGAACCACAGGGTTTCTCTTAGGTGTTGACCTTTGGGGTTGGTTCCTTAGAGTGGCTCATTTGCTGGATTCTCGGGGTTTGATTAACCGTGAAGTTCATGTCCGGGGTGTGTCCTGCGTCCTGGCGGACAGCCGTCTCGGTTCCTCTGTTCGCGGATTGGCCAGTCGTCGCCAACTCGTTTCGTTGGTTCTGCCAGACGTATGGACTTCTGGCCATGGACGTCTTTGAGTCGGCGTGGTCTAGGCGTCGCCCCTTCTTTATGTGGCGCCCTTACCTGCCTGCAAGGCGTTCACGGTGGATGCGCTTCGGCAGGACTGGTCCTGCTGAAAAACAGGTTGGGGTACCTGTTCCTCTCCTCCAGGTCCAGCTGTTGCTTCGGGTTCTGGCTAGGTTGGCGCCCATTCCCACGAGAGTAGTCCTTATGGTTCCTTGGTGGCCGGCCCAGCTTTATTTTCAGACGCTGCTTGATAGGTGTCCGAACCCCGGGGTGTTTTCCTGCGGCTCGGCGTCTTTCGGCAGGTTGAATCGGTCCTGTACGTGACTGATTCGGCCTTCTCCTCGGCTCTTCATTTCTGGTATTTTGACGCGGGTATCACCATCTCTGTGGTGATCAGGTGGCTTTGTTGATGGTGTCCCACCTGCGAGCTTCGTCTTGACGTTCCTGGTGTTCTATGCGCTTTTTCTTGCTGTTCGTTGGTTGTCTTCTCTTTTGCATTGGGTTGTCTTGTCCTTTCTTGGGTTTTCAGGACTACAGTTATTTGATGTTTCTTACTGTTGCCTCGTTTTGTGCGGCGCTGGCGGAGCCGCTCCGGCTTGCGTTCAGGGTGGACGTCACATCTGCCCTGTTTTTTACGCTTTCTCGTGTTTTGTTTCACCTCCGGCCTGCTCATGCGTCGCCTGAGCCATCCTGGTCCTTGATTAGGGTGCCTTCTTGTCTTCTCCTCAGTTTGTGGTAGCCACTTTGGTTCAGATTTCTGCTCTTTGGTACTGGTGGTAGGTTTGTACGTTTGCAGCCTTTCTCCATCCTGGTGACGGTCGAGACGGCTGCTTTCCGGAGGGGTTCTTGGGTTATTGATGCTTGATTGGTTTGGCCAGCGGTGCATCCTGTGTTGTCCGGTTGCACTTTTTGCCGTTACCTGCGTACTGTGCCTGGGGATGCGCTTTGGGTTGATCCGGTTCCCCTCGTTCCCTGTTTCAGGGCTCAGGTCTCCCAGGTCGTCCGCTGAGTTTTTCAGTGTTCCAGCCTGCAGTCTGTTCTTGCGCCTGTGCTGTTCGGACGTTTGCAGCTTTTGCTGCTGTGTTGGTGATGTCTAGGGCTCATTTTGGGCGCAGGGATTTGAGGGTCGCACAGGTTCTTGGCCGCACATTCTTAATGCGCGTCTGCTCCTGTGCGTTCTTGTTGCTTTGGGTTGCAGGTTGCAGCCTGTTATCTCGACTTCGCGTTGCGGAGTTTGTGGCGGCCGCCTCCTGGGTTAGCCTTTTCTTTCCTTCTCTTTGGGTATGAAGCTCCAGGGAGCCGTAGGGGCTCCCCACAGAAAACCAGCGTTGAATGTAATGAAACGCCATTTTCTGGGTGAGCCCCGGAGGCTCCCTGGCAACCCTCCCTCCCACCGGTCGGCGGTTTTTCGCGTTGGTTGAAGCTTAGCTTCTGAACTAAAACTAGGCAACCGGCGCGGTAGGTCCAGGGCTCCCCCTCCCCCTCTTGGGGCAGGGAGGGCTGCGCGGATGATCGGCGCAGCAGTAAAGTGTAATGTTTGCTTGTTTCCTTGGGATTGTAGGGAGTTTCTACCTCTCTGTTTTTTTGTTTTAGTTTTTTACCATGTGGGGTTTTTGTTATGCCTACCTTTCTGGGTGCCTAACCCTGGTCGATGGCAGATAAGGAAAACCCCTATCACAAGGGGGGTTTTCCAGGGCCATCGCTCCCTGAAACCTCTCTGAAGGGGCCAGGTTCTGGCGCTGGTCCCTGGTAGGTCTGAACTCCTTAGCTAATGTCCCGGTCTAATATAACATACGTTAGCCCGATAAGCTCCAGGGAGCCTCCGGGGCTTACCCAGAAAATGGCGTTTCATTACATTCAACGCTGGTTTTTTGCTCAGATATGTGTTGAATCATAATCTCTATGCTTTTCTCCTCTATAAGCATACCTGATTCTGATCCGGGTGTTTAGTAGGCCTGTGCATGTCCAAAGGCCTGGTCATATTGTATGTGTGTCTGTGGTATCAGAGTGTTGTGCACCTGGGAGTACTGAGGCCACCTAGATAAGGGTGTTTCACTACATTTGATGTTTTATTTTTTCAGCTTGAAAAATCAAAATCATTATGAGCGTCTGAAACTACAGAGAAACTGCTCGACAACTGATATTAAAGTGTCCTTTTTCCGGTTATCAAAGGAGGTAAGATAACATTTGTATACTTTAATAGTGAAAATGAGAGGGGGCCAGAACCTGAGGGGGCCAGGTTCTGGCCCCCTCAGAGAGGTGCAAGGATCGATGGCCTATAAAAACCCAACCGTGTGGTTGGAAGCATTCTATGTCTGCCATCGACCAGGTAAGGTACCCAGAAAGGTAGGCAACCCAAAAAACCCTATCTGGTTAAAATATTCCTACTGAAACCCAAACTGTTGGACAGAACTCCCCCAAATGAAAAACGAGCATGGCGTCACCTTCGTCACCCCACCATTGTCTGCGCAGCTCTCCCCTCCCCGGGAGGAGGAAAGGGGAGCTCCTTTTCTTCTTCCGGGGAGGAGGAATGGGGCAGAGGGGAGGAAATGTGTGACCTGGTAAGTCGTGCGACTCTGGCTCTGAATCCTTTCAGTGTTGTGCCGTGTTGTGTACTCACCTAGTTGTGCTTGCAGGGGTTGAGCTCTGGCTCTTTGGTCCCGCCTCTCAACCGTCAATCAACTGGTGTAGAGATTTCTGAGCCTACTGGGCTCTGTCATATCTACATTTGAAACTGTGTATGGAGTCAGCCTCCATCACATCACTGCCTAATGCATTCCATCTGTTAACTACTCTGACACTTAAAAAGTTCTTTCTAACGTCCCAGTGGCTCATTTGGGTACTCGGTTTCCACCTGTGTCCCTTTGTTCGCATACCACCCATATTAAACAGTTTATCTTTATCTACTCTGTCAATTCCTCTGAGAATTGTATAGGTAGTGATCATGTCTCTTACTCTTCTGTCTTTGTGTTGTAAGGTGCATTTCACACAGCCTTTCCTCGTAACTCATGCCTCTTAGTTCTGGGACTAGCCTAGTGACATACCTCTGAACTTTTTCCAGCTTCGTCTTGTGCTTGACAAGGTACGGGCTCCATGCTGGGGCTGCATACTCCTGGATTGGTCTTACATATGTGGTATACAAGGGTCTGAATGATTCTTTACACAAGTTCCTGAATGCTGTTCTGATGTTAGCCAGTCTCGCATATGCCGCAGATGTTATTCTTTTGATGTGGGCTTCAGGAGACAGATTTGGTGTGATATCAACTCCTAGATCCTTCTCTCTGTTCGTTTCATGAAGGACATAATCTCCCATTCTGTATCCTGTGTCTGGCCTCCTGTTTCCACTGCTTAGTTTTATTACCTTACATTTACTGGGGTTGAACTTTAGTAGCCATTTATTGGACCATTCATTCAGTCTGTCTAGGTCATCTTGTAGCCTCATACTAATTTCCTCCGTCTTAATCCTCTTCATAATGTTTGCATCATCAGCAAACAATGAGAGGAATGATTCTATACCCTCTGGTAGATCATTTACATATATCAGAAACAGTATGGGTCCAAGGACTGAACACTGCGGGACTCCACTGGTGATGTCTCGCTAATCTGAAACCTCACCCATCACAGTGATTCGCTGTCTTCTGTTACTTAGGTACTCCCTTATCCAATGGAGTACCTTCCCTTTCACTCCTGCCTGCATCACTAGCTTTTGCACTAGTCTCTGGTGTGGTACTGTGTCAAAGGCTTTCTGGCAATCCAAAAATATGCAGTCTGCCCACCCCTCTCTTTCTTGCCTGATTTTTGTTGCCTGATCGTAGAATTCAATTAATCCTGTGAGGCATGACTTGCCATCCCTGAATCCATGTTGGTGTTGTGTCACAAAGTTTCTTCGCTCCAGATGTTCCACTAGCTTTTTTTGCACAATTTTCTGTAATAACTTGCATGGTATGCAAGTTAGGGACACTGGCCTGTAGTTCAGTGCCTCCTATCTATCCCCCCCTTCTTGTATATCGGGACTACGTTTGCTGTCTTCTGAATTTTTGGCAGTTCACCTGTTAGCAGTGATTTATTATACATCATGAAGAGTGGCAGGCACAAAACTTCTGCTCATTCCTTTAGTATCCATGGCGATATTCCATATGGGCCTATATCCTTTGTCACATCCAACTCTAGCAAAAGCTTCCTTACATCCCCACTGGTAATCTCAAATTCCTCTAGTGGTGCCTGGTTAACTATTTCTTCTCTTATCTCTGGAACTTCTCCTTGCTCTATTGTGAAGACTTCCTGGAATTTCTTATTGAGTTCCTCGCACACTTCTTTGTCATTTGTAGTGAATCCATCTGCCCCTATCCTCAATTTCATTACCTGTTCTGTCATTACATGTGTACTCACCTAGTTGTACTCACCTAGTTGTGTTTGCGGGGGTTGAGCTCTGGCTCTTTGGTCCCGCCTCTCAACTGTCAATCAACTGGTGTACGGATTCCTGAGCCTATTGGGCTCTATCATATCTACATTTGAAACTGTGTATGGAGTCTGCCTCCACCACAACACTACTTAATGCATTCCATTTGTTAACTACCCTGACACTGAAAAAATTCTTTCTAATATCTCTGTGGCTCATCTAGGTACTAAGTTTCCACCTGTGTCCCCTTGTTCATGTTCCACCCACGTTAAAGAGTTTGTCATTGTCCACACTGTCTATTCCCCTGAGAATTTTGTAGGTGGTTATCATGTCTTCCCTTACTCTTCTGTTTTCCCAGGGTTGTGAGGTTCAGCTCCCTTAGCCTTTCCTCGTAACTCATTCCTCTCGGTTCCGGGACCAGTCTGGTGGCATATATCTGAATCTTCTCTAACTTTGTCTTGTGTTTAACTAGGTATGGACTCTAGGCTGGAGCTGCATACTCCAGGATTGGTCTTACATGTCTTACATAAGCGGTATACAGGGTCCTGAACGATTCCTTACACAAGTTTCTAAAGGCAGTTCATACATTGGCCAGTCTAGCATATGCCGCTGATGATATCCTTTTGTTGTGGACCTCTGGGGACAAGTTCTGTGTGATATCGACCCCCAGATCTTTCTCTCTATTTGACTCTTGCAGGATTTCACCTCCCAGATGGTACCTTGTGTTCAGCCTTCTGCTCCCTTCGCCTAATTTCATTACTTTACACTTTCCTGAGTTGAACTTTAGCAGCCATTTTCTAGACCATTCCTCCAGTTTGTCCAGGTCGTCCTGTAGTCTCTGTCTATCTTCATCTGTTTTGATTCTTCTCATAATTTTTGCATCATCAGTAAACATTGAGAGGAATGAGTCTATACCCTCTGGAAGGTCGTTTACATATACAGTGGGGCCTCGACTTACGATGCTAATCCGTTCCCAGAGACGGATCGAAAGTCGAAATATCGTAAGTCGAAGCGATTTTTCCCATAAGAAATAAAGGGAATTGAATTAATCCATTCCCCACCCTCCAAAATATTAACATACAAATACATATTATACTGAATGCAATGTTTTTTCTAACTACAATACAGTACCAAAGTTTCTCTTACCTTTATGGAGGGCTCTTGATGGCGTATGGAAGATGGTGATGAGGGGGGAGGAGGAGAGTTGTTACTGTTTGGAAGGGGAGTCCCCTTCCATTATCACATCGGGCAGTGATGTTTTCTCTGGGGTACTCTCTCTCCTACGTTTTGCCTAAATACCACTAGGACCTGGTTGTGGTTCAGTGCTTGTTTGTCTCACTACAAATTTGTCAAGAGACATTTGTTTTTCCCTTCGTTTTAACATTATTCTGTAATGATGCATCACAGTGTCATTGAATAGGTCAAGTCAACGACCTACTGCACCGTGATTTGGGCGAGTCGTTTCAGCAAAAGTTTGCAGTTCTTCCCATGCTGCACACATTTTCTTAATTTTGAGGAAGAGACATTCTGTACTGGCACATCCTCCCCTGAAGAAATTTCCTCAGCTGCTTCTTCTTCCCCACTTGCATTACCACACAACACAAGAGTAAACCAATCTTTCATAGGCTTGTGTCCAGGCAATGACTTCTCCTCCTTGGTAATGTATGTTTTCTTTGGCAATCTTTTCCAGAATAGCCCTGTCTCGTCACAATTAAACACTTGTTGTGGTAGGTATGCCTCACTCTGCACAAAATCTTTAAATTCGCCAATGAATCTTTCAGCCGCTGGTTTGTCTGAGCTGGCAGCCTCCCCATGCCTCACAACACTGAATTCCACTTCTTTTTCTAAATTTCTCAAACCATCCCCTGCTCACCTTAAACTCTTTCACTTCTGCATCACTCGTTCCAGGGGTTTTCTTTAAAAGGTCTTCATGCAATTTTCTTGCCTTTTCACAAATGATGGCCTCCGAAACGCTATCACTCGCTAACTTCTTGTTGTGTATCCAAATTAATAATAACTGTTCAACATCCTCAAGTGTTTGCGTTCTATGTTTCGTGATTATTGATACACCTTTTGCCACTTTAGCACTCATAATGTCCTTTTTCTTAGCCAGTATGGAGGATATCGTTGACTGAGATTTGTTGTACTGCCTAGCCAGTTCACCTACCCGCACACCATCTTCATATTTACGAATGATCTCTTGTTTCTGCTCTATGGTCATTCTTACATGGGATCTCATATGTTGAGCCTTATCACTGACTTTCCTGGGACTCATGGCGTGATATATAATAATTACTTTAATGTTCAAAGTGTAAAAAATCACCACAAAAGCAAAATTTCTTATAGGCGCAATCGTCACTAAGCGGGCAGCTGTAGTAAACTGAGGCAGGTCGACCGCGTGACTGGGAACCATACGCTCAGTCGACCCGAACGTGTACCAACAAATATCGGAAGTCGACGACACCATCGGATGTCGAGTCGCATTTTTCGATGAAATTTACATCGTAACTCGAAATTATCATAAGTAGGAGCAATCGTATGTCGAGGTGCCACTGTACTAGAAACAGGATGTGTCCGAGTACAGAGCCCTGTGGAACCCTGCTGGTGACATCTCGCCACTCTGATGCCTTCCCCCTCACCGTTACTCACTGTTTCCTATTGCTTAGATACTCCTTTATCCACTGGAGCACCTTACCCTTTACACCTGCCTACTGCTCCAACTTTTGTAACACCACACCCTTTTGTGAGGTACTAAGATTTACCATCTCTGAACTCATGCTGGTAGTGTGTTACAAAACTGTTTCCCTCCAGATGCTCTACGAGCCTTTTTCTCACAATCTTCTCCATCACCTTGCATAGTATATAAGGGAAACTGGTCTGTAGTTCAGTGCCTCTTGCCTGTCACCCTTTTTGTAAATTGGAACTACATTAGCTGTCTTCCAGCTTTCCGGAAGGTCTCTCGTTTCCAGTGACCTGTTATACACTATAAAGAGTGGAACACTTAGTGCTTTTGCACCCTCTATTAGAATCCACGGTGAGATTCTGTCAGGCCCAACAGCCTTTGACACATTCAGCTCCAACAGATTCCTTTTGACCTCATCCCTGGTGAGGTAAATTTCCTCCAAGATTGTTCGGTTTGCCTCCTCATTTAGTGCAGGGACCTCTCTTTGTTCTATTGTGAAGACCTCCTGGAATCTCTTGTCGAGTGCTTCACACATCTCTTTGTCGTTCTCTGTATATCTGTTCTCCCCTTTTCTCAGTTTCATCACTTGTTCCTTCACTGCTGTTTTCCTCCTGATGTGGCTGTGGAGCAGTTTTGGTTGGGTCTTAGTTTTACTCGCGATGTCATTTTCGTACTGTCTCTCTGCTTCTCTCCTCACTCTGATGTACTCATTTCTGGCCCTCTGGTATCTCTCCCTGCTCTCTGGTGTTCTGTTGTTCCTGTAGTTTCGCTATGTTCTTTTACTCAATTGCTTTGCTGCTGCACATTCCTGGTTGAACCACGGATTCTTCTGTTTCTTTTCATTTTTCACTTTTTGGACTGGGATAAACCTGTCTGCAGCCTCCTGACACTTCTGAGTGACATAATCCATCATATCCTGTACAGTCTTTTCTCTGAGTTCTGTTTCCCATGGTATTCCCATTAGGAAGTTCCTCATCTCGTCATATTTTCTTCTTCGGTAATTTAATCTTTTTCCTTCCAATCCCATCCTTGGATAGGTTATCCCTACTTCTACCAGATACTCAAATTTCAATACTCTGGTTACTCATTCCTGTGGGGGCTTCATATTTGACTTCCCTTATATCTGAGTCATTTAAGGTGAATATCAGGTCGAGTCTAGCTGGTTCGTCATTTCCTCTCATTCTTGTGGGTCCCTTGACATGTTGGCTCAGAAAGTTCATTGTACTCGATGCTCACCACCTGCCCATGCTCGCCACCTGCCCATGCTCATCACCTCCCAATGCTTACCACCTGCCCATGCTCACCACCTCCCCATGCTCACCACCTGCTCATGTTTGTCACCTATCCACCCATCATCACACATTCTTTCTCATTCCTTCCTCTGTGCATATTTGTCCATTTTCTACAATTCTGGATACAATATGTACAGTAATGTTGAAGAGAAAGAAGGGTAAACATTTGTATTTCTAAGAATACAGTAGAGTATGCTGTAATATTGTTTGGACAGTATCTTAAGTGAGAAGAGAAGGGTTTGTATTTTGAGGCATACAGTATTTGACAATAATGTTTGTATCTGGCTTTATTTGTGTCATCAGATGTCACAGCAATCAGCAAGTCAATATTTGGTTTGTATTGTGTATTTTTTACTTTACATAGCTTTAACAAAATTAAGTGAAGATATAGAATTAAATCTTTTGTGCTGATTTTATTTTGAAAAATTTAGTTTTAATATTATTGGTTATTTACAGATTCATCCAGATAAAAATCCAAATTCCCTTAAACATCATAAGGAATTTGTTGCGCTCAATGAAGCTTACTCAGTCTTAAGTAAGCCTCACTTGCGTCTTGCTTATGATGCAGAACTTGCACACCAAGAAGGTCCCAAAAGGCACACACATAGTGGAATTGTGACGGATGCTCCACGAGAAAGAGTGTATGTATAGTACAGTACTTCAATGATTACACTGATACAGTATTATTTTAGTAATGTAATTTCTGAACTACAGTATTTCACTTGGATGGTCACTATGGCAAGATCACCAGAGGCCTTGTTGGAGAGGAGTGTGATAGCTGAGGCAGAGTGATACTAGAGAAAAGTTGACTTCATCTAGAGTGACTACAAAACATTCACTTACAAAAAGTTAAAGCCATGCCAAGTCTTACTGGGCATCACTGGAGTGACTAAGTAATTCTCTGATCCAACTGCTTGTTTCTCACCTTGCTGCTTTCCCCAGTCCACACCAGATAGCAGCTCCTAGCAAACACAAAGTCCCTATCCTCAAGTCCTATCTTATTCTTCCTGATTCATCTTTGTGATGGTATAGGTAGGCTTGACACCAGTTCCAGACAAGTTCCTTATTATCTTAGAAACCAAGATTTCATTTGCTGAAGACTCATGGCGTACATTAATTATTAATAAATACTTTCGCGCACCCGCCGCGCCACCCCTCAACTATGCAATTTGGGTCCCAGCGTTTCACGGGAGCGCGCGTAATTCTGAAAAGTGTATACTCTCTTCAACTTTGTCACCTCAATTCTCCTCCTATGAGATTAAATTTGGTATCATTGTCTTCGCAATAAAATTCTCTACAGCCCTAAATGCATATAAACTCCAAAAGCCCGGCTAATTACCCGCAGCAAACAGAGAAAGTGCGGACGAGTTACCCAGGAGCGCGCAAAAGCGATAAAATGTGTTCACTCTTTTCACTCTGGTCACCTCAATTTTCGTCCTAGGTCTTTCATTTTGGTATCAATGGGTTCGCAATAGAATTCTCTAGAGGAATATTAGCATATAAAATAAAAAATCTGGTCACGCTCCACCCGCCGACGAGTTGAAGACGGGCCACGCGTTAGCCGTGAGTGAGCGCCCAGACGCCTTCCAGCTACACTCCCAATTCCTGCCCACAAATGTTTAGTGGGCCAGACATCTAGGGTTCCAACCAGACAGCCACCTCATTCACTCTCCTGGTGCTGCCTGGAGAGTAAGTGGAGATGGTTATTTTAGGTCAGTGGAGTTGGTTATCGTTAAAATGTTATGTTTCATGTGTGGGGGATTGCAATGTTTTTATTTTATTTCCTGCTTCACATTTGTGTTTTGTGTCACCTTCCTTTCATGGTCCCTGTGTTTAAATTTTGCTCCAGTTGTGAGTTAGGGTTATCCTCCTAGTAGGCAGCTTGTGTCCTCCTTGCCCCACCAGAATTATCTTCTCTTCTATAAATAGTTCAGGTTTCCCCTCTAAAAGTTCCCTTCTTGAGTCCCTCTCACCTCCAGGTAATGCATGGGGTTGCTCACTACTACTGCCCTGTTGATGGAGGGCTTGTGTGCAGTCAGGTCATGCACTGTACCTGAGGGTGCACTTGGATCATGTACCTTCCTTCACTGAGTGGTTAAGTTTGGATGCTGATGTTTGCTCATTCAAGACATTTCTGCATATTGCCTACTTGCTCATCTTGGGATGATCCAGGTAGCCTGTATCCTTCACCCTTGATTTTGTTGTTGTTGTCGTCGTCAAGTCTGCATGTTGGAACAGGCTGTTATGGTACTGGATACTGTTTTAGTCAAGCTGACTTATCAAGTTACAGCCATATTGCAGTATCATTCTTTGTAGTTCCAGCTTCTGCCACCCCTGGCTGAGCAGAGTGGCATAGGTACCTATCTCTTGTTTATTTGTTTCAACCACCTGTTAGTTTATTTGACTTCCCAGTCTCCTAGTGCAGGGGTCTCCAAACTATGGCCCGCGGGCCACATCCGGCCCGCCACATAATTTCATCCGGCCCTCGAAACAAATCCCTGTGTGGTGGCCTTGAAAAAATAATTATCGTACGAATGGCATCGCAGAATTATTCAAAGCTGGGGCTGCTGACTGGTGGCGCTCAACCCGAGTCAGTTTTCCTCTCTCTCGATAGTGTGACGCACAGATACTAATACTGGTAGGTATGTGTTGTGCATTACAACCAATCACTTGTGTATAACTGTATACTGTGGGGATGGAGGGCGAGTGGGGCTTCGCTGCTTCCGTTTCAGGGAGCACAAACACTGTACAATATTCTTTTCTCTGTACTTTGACAATGCCTTTATCTTAGTTATACAAAATAGCAATTTCATTTTTTATTCCTCCGGCCCGCATAAATATGGGAAATATATAATGTGGCCCTTACATTGAAAAGTTTGGAGACCCCTGTCCTAGTGAGTAGTGGGGCTGCTATCAGTGGCTACTCTGCCATGGGCCTTAACAAAGGAGATGGCTGGGAAGTCAAATGAACCAAGTGTGGTTGAAGCAAGTAAATAGGAGCTCAGCCAGGGGCTACAGAAGCCACTACTGCAAAGAGATACTGCAAACCAGACATGATGGGTCTGATTTCATTGAAAATTTTAACATTTAAAATGTTTTTAAAAAAGTTGGATGATATTGATCCAGACCCGTTTTTTAAAAGGTCAGATGTAATACATATAAGGGGCAATGACTTGAAGCTCAACAAGCCACAATATAGGACAGAAAACAGAAGGTGGTTTTTCATCCATAGAGTTATAAACCAATGGCACTGCTTACTTGCCATCTTGAGGTTATCTTGAGATGATTTCGGGGCTTTAGTGTCCCCGCGGCCCGGTCCTTGACCAGGCCTCCACCCCCCAGGAAGCAGCCCGTGACAGCTGACTAACACCCAGGAACCTATTTTACTGCTAGGTAACAGGGGCATAGGGTGAAAGAAACTCTGCCCATTGTTTCTCGCCGGCGCCAGGGATTGAACCCGGGACCACAGGATCACAAGTCCAGTGTGCTGGCCGACCGGCTCCCTATCGACCGGCCATAGCCATACATCCCAAAACGTTACTGCAGTTCGAAATTTCGCCTGAAAAAATTCATCAGGACAAAAAGGGGGGACCTTTGACAAGCTCTCACCTTGAGTTGTGTGCCCGGGGTTCCAGGGCAGATGGGGGCCCAGTGGTTCCGAGGCTGCAGGCCTGGCGATTTTCAAGCAAAAATTTCATCTAGCAGTTCATGTAAGTTCTCGGGAGAAGTTTCTGGCAGTATCCAGAGACGAGTATCTGGCAGTAATTGGACTGAATGCCTGGTGGTTCTCTGCAGTCCCCAATTGATATGCCAGACAGTCCTAAGGCTGCATGCCCTTTGTCTTTGGCCTCAGAGCCCAAAGTTTCCTGGGGCTGAGTACATGTTGTTTCCCAGTCTACATGCCCAGCATTTCATGGGCTATATGCCACAGTTTTTCTATCTGTATACTTTCCATTTCCTAGGCTGTGAGCCTCGAGGCTTTCTAGCCGAGTGCCCAGGGATTTTTTCAAGTATATATAATAGTTCATTTGTATGTCGTATAGAGTTGCAAACTGTTTTTCAACATTTAACACAGTTTCTGTGGGGAGCCCCTTTGGCTCCTTGGAGCTATACTGGGCTGATGTGTATATATTAGACCATTGCAACAGTCAATCGAGGGAATTCTAAGCCTACTGGGGACCAGAGCCAGAACCTCGCCCCCCCTCAAGAGAGGCACGAGGAGCAATGGCCTAAAGACACCCCTGTGTAATTGGAAGCAGTCTTTGTCTGCCATCTACCAGGTCAGGCACCCAGATATGTAGATAGATATATATAATAGATATGTAGATAGGTATATATAATATGTGTAAATAGTGTAATAAAAACAATAACAGTATGGTGGGAGGAGCAATGTTGGCGAGTAAGATGTTGGAGTGAGGGAGGGCCTGTCTGGGTGTGGCTGCTCACACTTGCGATGATCTGAATGTGTTGATGGTGAATGTATATAGTGTGTGACAGTGCCCGTAAATAGTCTGTAAATAGATTGTATATATACATAAATTAGCATGATACATGGTAAATATGTGCAACATATGTGTACACACGTGTCATGCACGTAACACAGTGTCCTCGGACAGTACGGATGTTTTACTGCCATAATATAGTGTACGTGTTCATTATGCATAGCATTAGCACGTAAAAACAAATAAAATTTATTTGAATCTGTGCGCAAAAAATGAACAAAAATATATTCGCGGCAACTCGCTCACTCCGGTTGCCCTACTGGCCTCGAGCACCCTACTGGCCCCGGGAGCGTATGTCATGGGCGAACGGGGAATGATAATATCACGCGTCAACTTATGGACCCCATAGCAGCCAAAGTAAGTACAATTTCGAAAAATTTTTGACATACCCATACTAAGGGAAGGGTTTTTGACACTTAAAAAACAAAATAAATTTTTCAAGAGAATTTATTTCCTGCGCACTGGAGGCGGCGCAGTTAAAGGGTTAAGTATCAAGAAATAATAAACACAGGTATTTACTGAATATTTCCCTTTACAGTATATTTAAAGATGAATCTCTATGGGAGATGCGAGACAAGAGTGAAGACCATAAGTATGAGGGTCGGCCTTATTATGGAATTCAAAGCATCAATAAGAAGTTACCAAACTCTTACATTGCAAGTGGAGCTGTCTGCCTGTTGATTATTGGTGCTGTCGTCCATTTCTTCATTGCCAAGTTAGTTTTTTTATGATATTTATCTCTATGATGTATACAGTAGTAGTATCCTAGCTCTACATGTTGTTATAGTCTATTAGTGTGGGAAAAAATAAAGAGAATAATAAAATAGTTTGTACTGCAAATTTTGTATTCTACACTAAAATGCATGGTAATGCAAGTGAGTCATTGATATATGCATACATTATCATTACTGTGTTCCCCACTCTCATGGGTTCGGATGGCACCAGCTGTGAGAGAAAAGGTGAAACTATAACCGAAGAAGGTTTTGTATATTCTAAGCATTGCAGAACCTCTTGTGAACTATGGCCACCATGTCCTTACGGAGATCATGTACAGGTTAGCGCATTTTTCCTGTGTCACCCGGTGACCTCAGAGACTGTAATAGTTTCCCCGAGGACTGCCAGAACCACCAAATATTTCCGGAGGGCAGTTGAGTGAAATAAGGAGGGTGTAATACCATGCAAGCCCATGTAAGCCTCTTACTGGGTTATGCCATCAGCTTTTATTCATTGGGTTGTAACATTTCCCCTCTCCAGTGACAAGGAAGTTTCCTTGGCTCTGGGTTCTTTAGGTAATAAGTTTCCGCCTGTGTCCCTCTGTTCGCGTACTACCCGTGCTAAACAGTTTATCTACCCTGTCAATTCCTCTGATAATTTTATTGGTAGTGATCATGTCTTCCCCTAACTTTTGTGTCTTCTAGTGTCATGAGGTTCTGTTCCATGTGGTTTCAGTTCCTCATATCTCATTCCTCTCAGCTTGGAGACTAGCTTGTTCACATACCTCTGAACCTTTCTCTAACTTCGTTTTGTGTTTAACTAGATGTGGACGCCACGCTGGAGCTGCATATTCCAATATTGGTCTGACATATGAGTTATACAAGGTTCTGATTCCTTACACAAGTTTCCGAAGGAAATTCTTTTGTTCGCCAGCCTTGCATACGCCGCTGATGTTATCCTTTTGATGTGGGCTTCAAGGGACAGGTCTAGTGTGATATCAACCTCCAAATCTTTCTCTTTTCTTGATTCCTGAAGGGTTTCATCTCCCAGCTGGCACCTTGTGTTAACCTACACTCCCTATGCCTATTTTCATCACTTTGCACTTGTTCGAGTTAAACGCTAGTAGCCATTTGTTGGACCATTCCTTCAGTCTGTTCAGGTCATCTTGTAGCCTCTTGCTATCCTACTCTGTCTTAATCCTTCTCATAATTTTAGCATCATCAGTAAACATTGAGAGGAATGAGTCTATACCTTCTGGAAGATCATTCACGTATATCAGAAACATGATAGGTTTGAGTACAGAACCCTGCGGGACTCTGCTGGTGATTTCACCCCAGTCTGAAGTTTCACCCCTCACAGTAACTCTCTGTTTCCTGTTGCTTAGGTACTCCTTTATCCATTGGAGCACCCTACTGCTTACTCCAGCTTGTTTCTCCAACTTATGCAACAGTTTTTTTATGAGGAACTGTGTCAAAAGCTTACTGACAGTCCAAAAAAATGCAGTCTGCCCATCCTTCTCTTTCTTGCTTAATGCTTGTTGCTTGGTCAGGGGTTTCCTACTCTTTTGGTAATGGTGGTAGGTGTGTACATTTGCAGCCTTCTCCGTCGTTTCTGGCAAAGGCCGAGACGGCTGCTTTCCGGAGGGGTCCTTGGGTTATTTATGCTTGGTTGGTTCAGCCGGGGATGCGTCATGTGTTGTCCGGTTGTCTCACTTGACCAAGTATAATCGAACATTTGAAGAGTATTCGTTTGCACCAGAGGAATATGTCGACTTTCTCCTGCTACGTCTGGTTTTGTTTGGAAAATCAGAACATTGCCCAAGGAAGCAATATAGTGACCTGCTCACAAAGGTGCTTTCATTTATACTCAAACCCTTATTTATACATTAGTTTATAGTTTTTATCAAAGTTCTTTATATATTGTGATTTTGTATTTAAAATTTGTGTTTCAGAAAATCTTCTGAATTTGCTATTGAAAAATTAAATCAGCGTGACAAAACTGCTAGCCAGCACTACATGTTAGCAAGAGAACAAGCTCAAATGAATGGAAATGAACTACAGATGTTGCTGTTCAAGAAAAAGACTGAAGCAAGAAACCATAATAATGACTGATACCGTCCAAGCAATACATTGAAATACTGTACACATTTTCTTAATGCGGACCCTTGAATGTACAGAAGTGTGAACTGAAGTAGTTTCTAATTAGCAGACCATCAGATTTTTCTGAACCACATTACCCCCCCTGGCATTATTTCATAGCATTACCTTGGCTCTTATTTTCTCCCAAAAATGATCAGGAAATTTTTCTGTACAGTGTAAACTCACTTGAGTGAACTATGTGAGGGAAGGCCAATTGGCTCCATGAGGAATTTCATTCTACCTAATGACCTTAAAGGCAACCACCACCCCCTGTTAAAAGAAACTATTTTTGGAGGGCTTACATCCATGATAATAAATATACAGGTTCGTGACTTACCTTATCAGGAGAGTAGTGTAGTGAAATACCAATATTTTCTTAACACTGACACACATAAACTGAAGCTGTAAGTACAAATCCATCATAACCTATTTTTCAATTCTATATTAAACAAACATCATTAAAAATGAACTGGTTATAAATTTATCATTTTGATCATAGCCTATGATACAGCAAACATTCGCAAACAATTCCATATTAAGCACTGCACTGCGCCACCCTACATAACACAGGGCATGGCAGTGCACCACCTAACTCACGAAAGATGTTAGGATATCGTAAGATTTAAAACGCACGTGTGGTAGACGCCTGAGACCTCCAGCGAGCAGCAGCCATCTTGAAAAAAATTCCCCACATGCCCCAGTTGGCTCAGTTCTTAGTGAGCAACCATGACTAGTGCACACACTCCTCCGACTCCCAATTTCCTGTCGGACGCGGTGTCGAAAGATCGCTCTCTGATGATGAAATTCAGACCTTATGGTTTAAAAAAGATAAGTGTAGTGATATTGATGAAGCAAGGCATGATAAAGACCTAACACAACTGTCAGATACAAGTTATACAGCATGGATGAGGACGATACAGCGAGTGTATCCAGTACAGGGTGAGCGCCAGGTGTGCTGCGGCCTCCCAGGCCATCGCCCTCGCCATTATTATCACCACCTGTGTCATCTCCAACTTTTTAAGAAAGTAATACTATATATGAATAGTTTTCTGGGTTCAGTGATGCAGCTTCTGTTACAAGTAGCATAATAAATGTTGAACATGATAACAAATATCATGATGTTTAACAGTGATAAATTCCAGGTACAGGCATACCTCAGAATAAGAGTTTAATCCGTTCCTGGAGACGCCTCGCCTTCCGAAAACTCGCATTCTGAAGTTAATTTCCCCATAAGAAATAAAGGAAAATGAATTAATCCGTTCCTGACTACCCCAAAAACCCCACATCAAACTAAATTTTTATACCTAATTCATCTAAATAAACCTACAAAACTGTGTTCCAGTTATTACTTACCTTGCTGTCGAGTGCTGTAGGCGTATGGAAGATGGTGAGGAGGGGGGAGGAGGAGAGGAGTTACTGTTTGGAAGGGGAGTCCCCTTCCATAATCACATCACATAACCCCATGCCTTGTAACACTATGGATACCACTTCTCTTTCTAAATTTTTCAAACCAGCCCCTGCTTGCCTTAAACTCTTTCTTATCTGCATCACTCGTTGCAGGGGTATTCTTTAGAAGGTCTTCGTGCAACACCCTGGCTTTCTCACAAATAATGGCCTCCGAAACACTATCACCCCTCAACTCCTTGTTGTGTATCCAAATTAATAACAACTTTTCCACTTCTTCAAGTATTTGTGGTCTTTGTGCCGTTAATGTTCTTACTCCTTTTGCCACTTTAGCACCCATAATCTTATTTTTCTTCTTAAGTATAGTGCATATTGTTGATGTGGCTTTGTTGTACTGCCTACAAAGTTCAACAACACGTGTACCGTTCTCATGCTTCCGAATGATCTCTTGTTTCTCCTCTATTGTCATCCTCACATGAGCTTTCTGGCCTTTATCCTTACCACTGGCTTTCTTGGGACCCATGGCGAGATATATAATAACAAATTGTATAGACAAATCACCAAAAATCCAACAAAACACTGAAAATCCGCGAGAAGAATTGATGTGGGGGTAGTCACTGAGCGCGAGACAATAATAAACTAAGGGACGGAGGGGCGACGATCGCCGAACCACCACGCGCTAGGTCGGCTGTACACGTATCAACAAACTCGCGTCCAAACTCGCCTCCCGAAGTAACCATCGCCTTCCGAGACAATTTTTTGGAGTAAATACACCTCGCCTTCCGAAAACCTCGCATACAGGGACAATCGCATTCCGAGGTACCACTGTACTCAGGTACGGCAAAAATTTGGATCTGAAACATAATACAGGGTACAAAACACAATCGAATCTGCCCATAGTAGGAAAACAGCATGTCAAGGATTTGGGAATAATGATGTAAATAATAATGTCCAACGACCTAACGTTTAGGGAGCATAACCAAGCAAATATTGCGGCAGCCAGAAAAATGATAGAATTGATTACGAGAACTTTCAAATCCAGGGATCCCATCACAATGGTTGTACTCTAAGTCACTTGTATTATCCCATCTAGAATACTGCTCAGTACTCACTTTCCCCTTCAGAGCAGGAGAGATTGCTGAAATAGAGGGAATACAGAGAACATATACGGCATGCATAGACGCGATAAAGCACCTAAATTATTGGGATCGTCTCAAAGCTCTCCAAATATACTCACTAGAAAGGAGACGAGAGAGATACCAAATAATATAGACATGGAAAATACTGGAGGGCCTGGTCCCAAATCTACACAGTAAAATAACAACATACTGGAGTGAACGATATGGAAGAAAATGCAGAATAGAACTAGTGAAGAGCAGAGGTGCCATAGGCACAATTAGAGAACACTGTATAAACATCAGAGGTCCACGGTTGTTCAACGTCCTCCCAGCGACTATAAGAAATATTACCGGAACAACCGTGGACATCTTCAAGAGAAAACTAGACTGTTTTCAAAAAAATGTGCCGAACCAACCGGGCTGTGGTGGGTATGTGGGCCTGCGGGCCGCTCCAAGCAACAGCCTAGTGGACCAAACTCTCACAAGTCAAGCCTGGCCCTAGACTGGCCTTGGGGAGTAGAAGAACTCCCAGAACCCCATCAAGCAGGTATCATAGATGAACAGAGTGTTAGCGGCTTCCATGGTCGTGTTACTATGCCAGTGGTGGTGGTGCCAGTACAAGGAGCACGGGTGAATTTGCGAAGGAGGACTGTGAAAATTTTGTACCACACAAACCACAATTTGATGATTCAGATGGTGTTGCACCCACTTTCTCATATACAGGTGAAAGGGAATATTTTATGGCTTATTTTGATGAGCCACTCATGCAACATCTTTTTGACAAAACCAACAGGTATGCATTGCAACTGCAACTTATTGCAGGTGACTTATTACCTCCTTCACATATGACAGGTTGGAAGGACACCACTGTGGCCAAGTTGTGTGTGTTGTTAGCACTGTCTGCTTATGAAACATTCCGTGTAACATGTAATACACGATTATTGGAACAAATTTTGCGCTGTTTCAAGCCCAGTGTTCAACAAATACATGTCATGAGACAGGTTCCTGATATTTCTTTGGTGCCTACACTTTGAAAGCATTGCAAATGCTGATTGAAATGATCAACTTTGGAAAGTGCAAAAAGTGTTCAGTGATATCAGACAAAAATTTTGCGATTACTTTGTACCAGGACAGAATTTTGTTGTTAATCTTTTCCTAGATTTTTTCAAGACTACATTACACTAAACAAGCTTGGCTACATACCACCTACAGAAACTAAAGCCAAAGATGTTCACGAGTGCATTGTTTGCAAGGACACAGAACGAAGAAACAGACAGTGAAAATCTATGTGTACCAGGTGCATCGAGTGCAAAGTTGCACTGTGTACCATGGACTGCTTCTTTGATTTCACTCACTTTCAAAGTACTGAGTGTGTAATATGGTGTATGACTGTAAATAGTGTGTGAGAATGTACATAGTGTAAATAATTTGAATATTGAACAAGTAAAATTGCGACAATAAATATTTTTGTGGACACATTAGTGATACATGTATCACAGTTTCTTGAACCATTATGACCGTTCTACTGTTTACATATTGTAAAGGACACAAATGGGCATCAGTTACTATAAAAAAAGTAATTAGAAAGCATTGAAAAATTAATTAAAATATATTTGTGGCAACTCACTAATCTTGAATCACCCGTGCGACTGCCTTTGGAAGCTTCCTGCATGGGCAAACACGTATCGGTGACGTCACATTGCATCTTCTCCATGTTGCCACACCCAAAGTAAGCTATTTTGTATATACAGTGGTACCTCGAATAACGAATTTAATCCGTTCCGGAGCCATGATCGTCATGTGAAACGGACGTCATACAAAACGAATGTCCCTATTGACAATAATGGGAATCAAATTAATCCGTTCTACCACTAATAAACATCACTATGATATTCGATGTTTTAAGTAATGGAGCAGCCTACCTTACATACACTGAACAAACCTTTATGACATTTTTCTTTCTTCAAATTTGCTCAATATTTTCTTTTCATTTGTCTTATAGCAAAAGGTTCGTTCGGTGTTCGGCAGGTAGGCTGCTCCATATTTCTTAAGCTGCTAAGGGGTCCTGAGGAGATTTACACCCCTGTGCGCAAGAAAAAAAATAATTCTAAAAATTATTTCATCTTCTAGAAATGTTAATTTGTGTTCCCTGAGCACGGGGAAAAAAATAATCGTAGGTGACATATTTTGGCCGCAATAGGCCGAAGAAGTCTGTCAAAATGTGGGCGTTGACAGAGCGGTCGTCAGTGGCGGTCAGCATCACCTGAGCTGACAGGTGGGAGTTGCCACAAAGATATTATTACCTAATTATTTCAATGTCTCTGATTGATTTTTTCTTAGTTTTTTGCAGTAATATTCAATAGTGTGATAACTAATCTACAAGCAGCTTTACTCTTATCTAGCCAAACACAATATACTTAGCTCTTGTCAATATGGCTTCAGACCCAAAAAAAGCACTAATGATATGCACTTATTAGTATGATTATTGTAGTTATTTGTAGACCTGCATAGGGCGTTTGACACTGTCAACCACTAAAACCTTAAATTACATCATTATGGAATCAGAGGACACTCCCTGCAATACCTCAAATCTTACCTTACTGACAGGCTCCAGTATGTTTCTGTGAATAATTCAATTTCTCCCACCATACCCATCAACATTGGTGTTCGTCAGGGCAGCATACTTGGCCTTCTCCTCTTTCTCATCTACATTAATGACCTTCCAAATGCCTCCCGACACCTCAAACCAATTCTATATTCTGACGACACAACCTTCATTTATTCCAGTCCTGACCCCCTTGCTCTTAATGTCACAGTGAATACTGAGCTAAATAAAGTCCATCTTTGGCTAACTGCCAACAAACTCACCCTCAACATTGACAAAACTTTCTATATTTTGTTTGGCAATAAATCCTCAAATCAAATAAATGTCAGGATAAATAATACCTAAATTTGTAACAAAATAGAGGGCAAATTCCTTAGTGTTCTCATTGACCACAAACTGAATTTCCCGGGACACATTCTTAATATATCAAAAAAGTTTAAAAAACTGTTGGCATTCTTTCTAAGATCAGATATTATGTACCTCCCCCTGCCCTGGTGACGCTTTATTACTCCCTCATCTTTCCTTATCTCAACTATGGTATTTGTGCTTGGGGTTCTACTACCCAAAATCATTTACGTCCTCTAATTACTCAACACAAAGCTGCTATTAGGACAATATCCAACTCTGGCCCCAGACATCACTCAGTACCCCTACTCAAATCTCTGAATATGTTAGATATTAAGTCACTGCACATCCTCTCATGTGTAAAATATTATATATATATATATATATATATATATCTCTCATGCATATATAGCACATATAGCATATATATTCATTCATTAATAATTCTAACACGAATTTTCTCAATCTTTCGTACATTACGCTTCACTGTTGGAGGTAAATCAAAAATCACTTCTCCAAAATTCAGGTCCTAGTCAATAACGGCTTCTCCAATGGTTTCATCGAAGACATCATAAGAAGGAAAGTGAAAAGCCATGCAACCTCTGAAGAGACAACTAACACAACACCTATACCCCCTATTAGACTATTTTACAGGAACTTCTTTTCCACAGCTCATAAAACGGAGGAAAGGGTCCTGAAAGATATTGTTAATAGAAACGTTATCCCTACAGA